GAATGTTTCTGATACCCTTTACACGCGCAACCAAAGATATTATATAAATAATAACTTATCTTAATCTTAACCACTTCCGATACCTTAAGTTGGTAGTTAATAATATATTTCTAATCATAATATATTAAGCATATGTTTATATAGCACACAAGCTAAGAAAGTTTATCATATCTTTAATAATCTCTGCTTTCTTTAAAATAAATATATAGATATGGTTTGTTATACCAAGGCTCTATTTTAGTAATATTTATCTTTTAGCTAATCTCTAATAGCTGGTAATAATAGTCTGTATTATCCTGTCTATATGTTAAACAAACTTCCAGATAACAAGAATATCTTTATAAATATTACTTTTAAGTCTTATTCCATGATTTCTAACATTTCAAATCTTAATATAGATAATACTGCATAATCATCTTGAGCTCTAGACAGAATCATGCTAGATTCTCCAAGATCTTCTTTAAAATACGGTCTAACTAATAAGTAATATTTTCTTGATTATTTTTCTAGTTCTCCTTATCCTTATCTTGCTGTGATAAACAGAGTTTATTAATTTCTGATAAGAGTTTTTCAGAAGTATCAGGTATCTTGCTAAATCTCTTCTTACTGGGTTTAAGGCTTTTAAATAATATACTATATTCTTTATTTAATAGTTTATCCTTATTCTAAATTATACTGGAATAGTCATTTCTCAGAACTAGCTTATAACTGTTATTATTAACTTCTATGGTCTAAACTAATAGTATAGATAATCATCAATCCTCTTATTAACTAGATAGTACTGTTAACTTATCCAGAGTGGCTTGTTATCTCAACTAATCACAGTGTGTTCTGTCCTCTGATAGCTAATCATACTAAATAATATATAACTTCTTACTATCTAATATCTATATTACAGATTCTGTCTAAATCTTGTACTGAATAGCGGTGATATTATAGACTTCTTTGCTTTAATCCTGGTATATAGCCCTCAATTATTTCTGAGGCTGTTGCTATTTCTGATTACAGTTCTTTGACTGGTGACTTACTTTACCGCAGCTAAAGTACAAGCAGTCTTGTTTATACTGTTCAAGTTCTTTCTTGAACACTTGAGTCTCTTGAGTCTGATGTTAAGCAGTATCCAGCTCTATGGGCTTCAGCCTGTAAGAATCTTCGTATCCCAAGCTTCTAGATTATACCAACCTTCCATTATTGACTTGATAACCTGGCTAGTTATTGTATTAAGATATAGACCTACTGGTCTACTAATCCTCTCATTATTTTATATTAAAGTTATACAGCTTATTATTGATCTTTACTGCTGCTTTAATCATCTTGACCAAGATATCTGGTTATTCTTATCAAATAATTTTTTCTTAGATCTCCATCTTGAGTCCTTCTTTAAATTGTAAGATATAAGTATTATTATCCTAATCCAGGTAACTGATGACTTGCTAAAACTCTGAAGTATATACAGATACTGATCCTATCTATTTAAATTATTATAACTTTTGCTCAATATTTCATGCCATATTAATGTCTTTAAATATCTATTTAAAACATTGTTTAAATCTGGTATAATTAGTAAAAAGTCATTTTGTATCATTATCCTGATTGCTTACTGACTTTTCTTGTCACTCGTGGATGTATGGTTCGAACTAATTAAATACTGCTTTAATAAGATAAGTAAACGCGAAAAAGATCTTATTCTCTTTATTCTTGAGCTTTTTCTTGTTTATGTTGAGGTACAAGTCCAACTGGGTCAAGAAAGCCCTGAGCTTTGCTTATTTGCTGTCAAATGGCTCAGGTGGTCAGACCTTAACAGATTTAACTAACAAGTAACCTTCGAGTAACTGGTTCTTTTATTCTAAGGCCGTGATGCTTTCTTGTAGCTGACCAACCATGTCCATTAGTTCCTTGGTCATCGGGCCCTGCTGCTGAGGCGCTCGCGATGTGTTTGATGTAGTTGATATGATGACTAATTGTCACTGGGTAATACTTGTACTGACTGATGCTCAATGTATCAAATCCTAGGATTGCTTCTCCCTGTTCCTGTTAGCTTAGCTCCCGTTCCAATACGTACCTTGTGAACTGAATCAAAGGTAGTCAGGCTATTAACTATCTAAAGATAACTTGATCTGAATAAGAAAAGAAAAATAAGGCCAGATAGTGCCGCGCAGCTATCCGTAAGTAAGTATGGACAAGTATTGTCACTAAGCTCTACCAAAACATATGGTTACTTAAAGATAAGTTAATTAAGCATGAAGAACAGAATTAGCTAAGTATATGAAAGAGCGTCCTTATATCCTATCCTTCATATACCATTTCGTATACCATTCAGGATAGATCGAGGGTCGATCCAATCACGTTCCTGGATTCCGTATACCATATCATATATCCTCGATGATAGATCTGATGGTAGATGGTCACGTGACACAGCGCTGCCTCGGGTGTTACCTCAACCGGGATCTTACTCAATAAGAGTTGCTGGCTGCCCGAGTCCTTCCTGGTCGTTACCTTTCTGCCTGACGAGTCCGCTTCTGCTAGTAACCTGGCTAGCAGGGGTCTGTAACACTTATATATTCACTATATTAAATCAGTAATATTCTCACTTACCTTTTTTTATAATTAATTATATTAATTATAAAATCATATTATATGTAGAATGAAGTCTTATATTTATTTAAAATCTAAATTTTCTATAATATCTGATTTAATTTTTATAAATATTATTTTATTTCTAATTAATTTATTAAGTTAGCCTGTACTCTATAATTTATTAGTATATAAGCTAATATTACTTTTATTTATATTAATATTAAAATAATAATATTAATAAAATTAAAACCTTCATATAATAAAAGCCCCAGTGTTATTATTATATATAAAGCTGAAATATTTAATTTTGTATTTAATCTTTTATATTTTTATATTCTTATTCTGTTTTCTTTAAGTAATTTGTAATAAAGTAACTATATTTTTTATATTTAAAATATTCTATTTTATTCTTATTATTGAAAGATTTATATTTATTATTATTATTTTATATAGTTTAACTTCAGTAGTTATCTTACTAATTTTAGAATAAATAATTATTTTATTATTTTATTTTAAATAAATTTTAATATACTTAATCCTGTTCCCGTGATATGATGAAATAGACGTTATATTTTAATAAGTATTATTTTCTTTTTATAATAATTTTCTTATATTATCTTAATATCTGGTTTTCTATAATTTAAAAATATAAGATATAGTTAATATAAATTTCTAAAATAATAACTATTTATTTTAAAATAATCTCTTAACTTTACTATATAATAGCAGTATTTATTTATATTATTTCTATAATATTTTATATCCAGTACTATTCTTATAAATAGTTTTATAATTTTTAATTAAGATAAAAGATTATAGTATAGTAAGGAAGTTTTCTTTTATTAATTAAATAAAGAATTAGAAGAATTACTCTTAAATTTAATAATTAATATATTTTGATATATTTTATATCTTTTTTTAATTAATATCTTATCTAGCTCTACTAATTATTTTTATAGTTAGGGTTTCTTAATTTCTCCTTTTTTCTTATATAGTTTCTGCTTTAAAATTATTATATTATTATTATTCTTATTATTTTTAAAATAATTAATTAATTCAGTTATATTTATGGATTTTTTTTTATTAAACTATAAATTTAAGTTTTTAAAATATAGAAACTTAGTAATAAGATTACTTAATAAATCAGATAAGTCTTTTTCTGAGATAATATTTTAAGTATAAAATACTATTTTTAGTTCTAGGTTTCTTGTAAAGAGAATAATTAGAATTATTAAAATTATATAAGGAAATATAGAATAATATAAGATTAATCTTAAAATTAGGTTAAATCTTATATTATAAGTTTATATAGTATAAATAATATATATATACAGATATAAAACTAATTACTAGTCTTCTAGAATTCCTGATAATAAGATAAAGTAATCTAATAAGCAAGTTCAGTAACTCGGAGATTATATTTTAATAATATTTGATATTCTAAATGTAATAAATTAATAAGATTTAAAGTATAAAGAATAGGAAATGAGGTTTTCAGACAGCAAGAAAAATAAAAAAATAAAGAAAATAATAAAAACATAGAAGGAGAATAATGTAAAAAAATATATCTAATAATAATATTCAGTTACTGAGAATTTTAGATATTTAAAATTAGTAAAGTTAAAAATAACAGAAGAATAATAAATAGATAGAATAGATAGACAGGATAATAATATATTATTAAAGAAGTAACGATAAAAATCTAGAATCAGTCTATAAATATACTATTATCTTTATAATAGCGGAATAAGAAAGATAATAAATATTTAATATTATAATGATTATCAGAGAGAAGGACCTGTTAATATAACTATATATTAAAGACTAATATATATATATAGAAGAAACGCGGGGACAATCTCTGACAGAAAGACAGGAACATAATATCAGATAATCAGCAGATCACTGCAGGGAACCGGCACCTCTACATACATGAAGAAAGGACCCGACGAAGCGGTCACAATAGAGAATCTGATTAAAAAATATAAAGATTTTTTAATAATGTATAGAAAGTCTTTAAAAGAGATTAACTATAAGAAAGACTATTTTATCTATAGTTAGATAGCTCTCTAAAGAATTCAATTTCTACTTACCATCACGTACCTTGAGTAGTTATTGGGCTCTTGAGCCTGTCACACAGGCTATTCTTAAAAGAGCTGTATGTGCAGTCCGTTTAGATAATGTGTAGTCCAAATAGCAATTGCCCACAGAAAATGTCTCACTATCTTTCTACTGCAAACTTCCCTTATCCAGGACCTGATCCAGTGTTTCTCAGCGCTGCGCGCTTTGCAAATCATTTGAATAATATTTCTTTAACAATTGTGATTTGTGATTCTTTCCTTATATAGTCAACGGGCTTTTTATCCCGACAAGTAGATGCTATCACACCTTGTCACCTAGTGAACACAGATTTATATAGTCGTGTTGCTAGATAGCCGAGGTGGCAACTCATTATATGGTGGTTCCAGAGACTTGGCCTAATATTAATCTATGATTATAATGTCCTCAGCTCAATTATACCGCTGCACTATCACCACACATGGCTCAGTATATTCTTCAGAACCATGATCCGCTATGCCCTTATCCACTGCTGGCCAGATATTGATACGTAGATTGCCGACCTGGAAATATTCAGCTGCCAAGTCATTGCACAACGCAGCGACACGCCCGCCTTGTGAATGATCTCCACATTCAAGTATTACAAGGCTCGTTTTCAACCTGAACGAACGTGATAATATATGGTAGTAGAAGATATCTTCCTGCCCTTTCAGTGGTAATTCTGACATATCGTGGTGATCTTTTGAAGGGACTAATGCAATCCTGGGCTCGAACATCCGGACACTGCGTGTAGTTGCCCCGTTTCCAAAAGACTCCTCAGATATATATGGTGGATTGGATATAATCACGTCAGGGGGAGGTCCTGTGTGACTTGATGATCCAAAAACATCACCTACAGCGTCAAGAACATCACCTTGTTTGAAAGTGATATCCGTGAGCGCGCGATCTGACAGGTATCCACGTCGAACATTGTGCATTAAATTATTCCTTGCTAGATCAATGGCCGTTGCACTAATATCAATACCGATGATGGAAATTTTCTGTACATGCGGAGCAACAAGAGCATGTAGAAGCAGGGATATGCAGCCTGTTCCTGTACATAAATCCAGTATACGCAAGGATGTCGCACGATTCTCGACCGGGAAATGTCTCTCGTTGATCATATCATTCAAGATCAAGTTCGCGGCATGGAAAGTGAACGTTTCAGTCTCAGGCCTGTGGTGATATAACTATTCAGCACAGGGCGCATAGGTACAGTAAATCATGGGCGGCAATACCTTGGTATCAGAACGCCTCTCTTGCACCGGATGTCTAGGTCCCCAAAAGGCTGATCACCAAGGATATATTGAAGAGGTAGGCCCCGAGATCGTGCCCGACACATAGATCTCAACAAGCTTCGCCAGCCCTGAAAGCAATGCTTAGATGTGACTGCTCTTCTAGCCAAGTTCAATTGAGCCTTGTGAATTGCCCGATCTTTGAGCCAGCGCAGCTCATTTTTGGCGGACCCAAGTGTTCGACATTCCTGAAGTAGCAGAGGAAGAAGGTGGCCTTGTCGATATGCATTCAGTATCGTTCGATTGGGTATTCGTGGCATGGCTTGTTTTTGATGTAAAATTATCGTTTGTTAATGCAAAGATAGGGTTCTTGTTAGGTACTATTTCTATTCCCGTCCACTGGCTTAAAGTGGGTCATACCTCATTGGTATCCTAAGTAGTAGATAGATGATACGATACGATACGTATCTACGGACAAGGTACTTTGTAATATGTGCAATACCGATAGAATAATATTCTCCTGGGAGAAGGGCTGATTTTCAACGCCAATACTATCTCTCGGCTCTCAGACCTACCACCGTAAGGCATATCCAATTTTAACCTGGGCCCCATTCCATTTTCATAGATGACATATTTATATACCTCGTGCAAAAGCTTCGTGATAATCTGGTTAATATAACACAACATCAAATCAATATCCTCCACACAGAAAGGGGCTTGAAACATAAAGCCAGGGGTATCGGAAGACAGAAGCATTAGCGGACAAGATCACTAACACGCATACACTACAAAAGCCAAGCAGACATGAAAGGGGATAATCAGCAAGGTCTTCGTTGAAATCGGCATATCGGAAAAAATTAGAGAGCCAGCATATATCCAATTGCAGCAGCACCAATGGCTAAGTGCTTCGGAACACCCGTGAACTCTGCCGCAGCACCGCCACTACTAGTTGTTGATGGGATATCTGTGAATATCGCACCAGTTGGTCCACCAATCCTTGCCCCAGAGCCACCAGCTGCTACTGTTGTGACAGGATTAGCAACTTTAGTGGCCCCAGGAACAGAGTCTTCTCCAGTCCCGATTTCCAGAATGTTGTCTCCCGTGGCGTCGAAATTGGTGTTGGCGAGGGAAATCTCATTATTCGCTAGATCGTAAACAACATATGCACTGCGCAAGAAGGTGTCTCCTAAAACAGCCGTACTGTCACCGGCAGGGACTATGCCAAAGATACATGCACGTTCACCGTCCTGGAATAGGAGATCTCCTACATCGAGAACAAGTTCGTCGACTCCGACGGTGATAGCAGGTGACGAGAAGGTGTAGGTGATGTTAGTGTTGTTCTGCGACAGGCTGCACGGCACATATCCAACTCCAGAAGACTGTTCATACACGACATCAAAATCATCATAGATGTCTTCAACGATAGAGTCTGGAAGATATGTAAGAGAACTTCCAGAATCAAGCAAAACAGCTGCCGGAAGCGCATCCGAAGTGTAATTGCGATTGCTTGACCCCGAACTGAAAGCGACCCCCGTGAGAGCAATGATGAATTCAGAATAAATCCCATCGACTTTCTGGATGGGAAGTGTTTGTAATTCACCATGATACTTCTTTGTGTTTACGCCGCCGAACAAAATAGACCCGGTGTTTGCGTTCAGGTCGTTTAACCAGAGGCTGTAGGCGTTTGACTTTATCAAATTATCCTTCACCATTGCACTAGGAAGGTTAGGATAGGCACTTTCACCGAAGCGGCCAACCTGAACCTCATTTGACGTATAGCCGATGCCCAGAACTCCCTCTATGGGTAACAGATGTCAGTTAATGGCACAATGACGCAGACGCCCCGAATTTGTTGCAAGTCAGAGTATATGGGATCCACATACCCGAGGAACTGGAGGAATATCCAATACCAAACTGAAAGCTTTGTAGAGTCGCACCTCCTATGTGGAGAGTGTCAGTTGCGTAAACCCCAGCCGCGCCGCTTCCATCCGCATAGGAAATGTTAAAATCAGATGAGACATATGTGTATGTTGAGGAGTTGTTAGAGTCATAGGTGCCAGATGTACGGCACGGATCTGTGGACGAAGAGCACAGCGTTGAATTAGCTGCATTGCACCATAGATCACTGCTTCCAGTATCCAGAACCAGTCGTAAGCTCTGCTTTGGCGTTCCTAGCGTTACATTACAGAAATAAAGCGTTTCCTGTGAGAATCAATATCAGCAGCCATACTTAGAGCCGAACTGTAGAGCAAGCTCATATACCTCATTGTCAAGAGCTTGGTTGATTGCTGTTGTGTCTCGTTTTCGTCTGGCACGGTCTCTCGCCATTGGATCTGACACATCATTGCGTTTGATATCTAAGGGCACAACCGCGGGTATCTCTCTTTGCTGAAGTGTCAAGGCATTTGCTGTCTCCAATGAAATGAGGGAGACGACAACCAGAAAGGACCAAACTCTCCACATTGTGGCTCCCTTCTATCTCTCCCTTAGGGCACGTTATTCCACCTCCCGTGTTTGGGAGCGTATCGTATTATGAAACAGATATTCAGTTTGATTTCACCGCCGCTGCTTCAACTGGCTGGTATGTAGAAAATGCTCACCCGTTTGTTCGTATAGCACTTAGATATATCTGCAATAAAATAGGCCCAAGGCTGGATCTGGTTGTGGCACAGGTAAATTAAGATGGTCTATGATTTTGGCGAAGGAAAGTAGCACTTTTAGACTCCACACATATTTAGTGAGAGGGGGCATGGTGCTACTTTTTATACTGGAACATAGTAGTAGGTAGATTAGTGGACTCGATCTCGTTCACAGCTCTTGTTGGACCGGGACTAGTCGGCTGCTTAGGTTGACACGCCTAGATCTCCGCGCCCCCACTAGGCTGAGGTCCGGACTGTCGGACAGGGCAATAGTATCATCCTGTTGTCGTCATCACTTGTGGATCCGAGTAGACACTAAGCATGTATGGAATTTTATGGAGATCTTTTGTATTAACATTCATTACATTGTATGCAAGGAATTCTGTTACTGCAAACTACATACAAAGTGGAGTACCCACTTTGCATATAGAATACTGACTGCATCCTACACGGCATACTATTAGGATTCGAAAGATTACCTTTTCTTGGCAGATACCTATTGTTAGAAGCGCATGACTGTAACTTATTGGGCGAAAACGGCGTGGACGGATTGGGCCTGTCCTTTCCGGGAGTCTCGGCTACCTCGAAAAGTAGAACATCGCCATCGTCACGGCCAAAGACTCTCGCAATGGGCTACTCTGTACATACTGCGTACTACCCCTATTATCGGCTGTATTTTAGCAAGAGGTACACAGTACTCCGTACTGCGCACACAGATGCACTATCTCGTCATTGGAAGAGTGACCGATCCAAGATCTGGCGAAAGACCATGTATTAGAGGGCACCTAGCCACATGCGGCATATATTTGTACCTAATCTCTGCTAGTATTCCAGAAATAATCGTCAAGTCGGTACCAAATTCTACCTGCACCGCCCCTTCTGATCTGGCGTTATGGCCCTGCACAAGATGTAGGACGTGGACGTGGACAAAAGCTTTCTGCTTTTGATTGATCTTCGACACGCCGTGGCCCATTGGCTGTATCTCGTCATATAGGGCCAGCTCCAATTACAACAGGTCAGTGATATGTGGATATTACTGCAGGTCCATGGTTGAGACATTTGATTTTATAGTCGTATTGATTTTGCATGCCGTTAGCGAGGCGCCGATTGTGTGGCCTCAAGCTGGCGGTGCTTGATAACGCAAGTCAGCCCACTTGTTATGAACACTGTATGCCTATGCCAGAAAATACTCCGCATATCAAAAATGATTAGCCGACGTCATGGGTCGGTCGTGCCTACTTTAGCATATAAAATCTCTCATTAAAAATATGCCTTTATTCCCTACCTATGTATTTACTGGCATAATTTTCTGGCCTAGGCAGCAGCATTATGGTTTAGATCTGGTTGGCTAAACCATGTTGCAAAAAGGCGGAGTTCCGGGGCCTAGCGGAGCTGCAATCAGTGTCTGCTCCAACAACATACTTTGTGAAGAGCTTCCGGAGAGACATGCAAGCGGCGGGTATTTCTTGCCAAGGCGATTGTGTACTTACGATCTTAATGAATGATCTCATATAAAATGTTGGGATACAGTCTTCGTTCCGTCTATTCTGCAGATGCCAACAGTATATCATTTTGACCTACTGATATAAACATGACAGGTTATAACTCCAGAAGCTAGTTTTATTCTACTTGGTATCTATACATACCTAAATCAGGATTTTAAAGATTACAGGCTCGAGGCCAGGTTTCGTCAATTTAAGACTAATTATAACAGACTATATGAAGTTATAATTCTACAATCTACCCATTCTCCTGATAGCCAGTCTGAGAGAGTTATATTAAGATACAGACTTTATTCTACTTATTCTTTAAATATCAATAGTATGTTATTTTAGCTTACCAGTATGAATATAAGAGCTTATAAGTCTTGAAACTAGTTTTACCTTACTTGGTATTTATACATATCTGAACCAGAATGATAAAGGTTGCAGGGTTAAGTCTAGATTTAGTTAACCTGAGACTATTTATAGCAGACTGTATAAAGTCATAAGTCTGTATATTCTTCTAACAGCTGGTCTGAGAGGGTAGTGTTAATATACAGTCTTTGTTCTGTCTGTTCTCCAGATGCCAGCGGTATATCGTTTTGCCCTACTGGCATGGGCGTGACTTAAAATACATAGGGGAAGTCTGTTAGTTGTAACGCTAATTGATTTTTCTGATCTGTTTGCATCCTTGGAAAGAGTATATATAATACAGATATGCAGAAGCAAAGGCAAGTCACGTCGTATTAGACCTAACTCATATACACAATGAGGGAATGCCTGAGCGCGAGAAGACAAGGGGCTACAACAAAGCAGAGAGCGAGAACAGAAAGACAGGGCGCATCACGAAGTGCTTTCATAAACCCATGACTTCCCTCACTTGTTTCATAGTCAACTCGGCGTTCGCTCGAGCGGTTTGAGAGCCCTGCTCTGAGACATCATCTAGATAGCCAGTCCTATCATCCATGAGTGAGAGATACTTATCCCTTATTGGCCGTAGATGATTTGAGATTTGGCTGGCGAGGTTTTCCTTTAGAGCCCGAAGACTCGTTGACTGAAATTCCAAGGCTAAATCTTCGCATGACTTTCCCTCAAAGTGGCCAAGAAGCTCTAGAAGGTTAGAGACGCCCGGCCGGCGAACGGGGTCATAAGTTATCGTCGTATCTGAGTCGGTGAGCGCCGCTCTAAGCTTTTTATGGATCTGGTCAGGGGAATCAGTGAGGAGAATTCGAGACCTCTCGTCGACATGAGATTTTGACATCTTTAAGGTCGGCTCTTTGAGGGACATGACTCGTTTCGCGGGTGCTATAGCATAGGCGTCATTAGGCTAATTTTCTACCTTCCGACATACCGGAAAAGGCGCATGTTATGATCCAAGACTCACATATAAGTGCTTCTGGAGACGGAAACACTGACCCATAGACGTGGTTAAAGCTATTCGCGATATTTCTAGAAAATTCGAGGTGTTGTTTCTGGTCTTCCCCGACGGGAACATGGGTAGCCCTGGGCAAAATCAGTTCACGGCCACACTCCATGTTGATGCCTCCAAACCTATGTACTAGTATGTCTGCTGCCTGGAGAACAGGATATGAGAACAGACCGAGCCGCAGTCTTGACCTAGCAGCCGAATTATCCAAGGTTGTGTCCTCAGGCAACTGGAGTTTGCTCTGCTGGATGTCAATATTGAGGCTATATCCTCCGATTTCTCGGGGTATGATTCCATCATCGTGTCTTCTGCCCATCATCGTGGTCACTCACCTTCCATTGAGTCATTCGTGACAAGTAACCCATGGAGGCTACTGTGCACAATATCCAGAACAACTCCGCATGTGCCTGTACCTAGCAGTCATTCAGCGCGGGAAGTCTTCCAAGGTTGATAAATCACATACAGAAGATTGGTAAAATATTGTCGAGCGGCTTGGATCCAGGCCCACGGCCATCAATGTAGCAAATGCCTCCTTTCTCCATCTTCTCAACTGAACCTTTTCTTGGGGTACCGTTAACGCATGCAGATCAACAATGGAGAAATACAAATTCGTCCCTTCTGTCGCATTGTTCTGTAGCCGAACCCATTCCCTTAGGGCGCCGAGGTAATTTCCCAAATGCGGCACGCCCGTTGGTTGAATTCCGGAGAATATCGTTCGGGTTATACTGGGAGATCGTGGAGTTTGGTAGCTACTCCATCTTCGGGAACAATGGCTATTCAACTGCCAATGCACGGACTTTGATCGCAAACAATTTGAGCTAATCCAGGGAGCCTTAGTCAGGTTGTGCGCACAGCGACCCATGTTAGTATGCATGGCTTTCTTTACAGCCACATGAAGGCTTGGGGCCCGCTAAGTGAATATACCGGTGTTCACCTAGATTTCAACACATGCACCCCGTACACAAGGTATATCACGTGCCGTCAACGGGAACACCGGCGGGTAAAACAAACATTTTATCTAATTTCCACTGGCAAGGCACACTGAGAAACATCATACTGGAAAAAAAAAGGCCCAATGTTATAATGGCATTCTATGAAATACAGTTTGCATAAGGGAATTAAAGAAAAGGTCATAGCCAATCCCTGCATAACGAAATAGTATGAATTTGAACTGCGAACATAAACCCTTAGACAAACAAAACAATGATAATATACAAGATATACGACAACAGAGCATTTAACCTCTGCGGACTGTAGTTAAAGGGCCCCTGTATGCAACAAACCGCTCGTTGTCCAAGGTATCTGAAATCGAGTCCTGCGATCTCGTATCTTCTCGCTGACCAAATTGGGCAAGGTAAGGCTCAAGTGTCTTCTCAACATCAGGGAGAGTATTGTCCATGCTCTCAGCCACGTCTGTATTCAAATTTGAGTTAGCTGTGTCAAAAAAAAAAAACCAAGCTAGGATGAATAGTAGTAGGCTTATAATACCAAGGCTTTCATGTTCCCAGACATTTGCTTTCATACCGACTCCATAGAATGCGTGCTTGCGCAAGAAAGCTAGCCATGCTTGTACAACCTGGGGATTGCCGTCCTTAATTTGAATCAACCGACGAAGTGTTATTCTTTCGAAGTTTTCTTGGCTTTTCTTGTGTACGAAGTTGCTTCGAGGCATAGTCCAACGTTCAACCATTCGTGGTAAGGGCACTGGCCCGGAAACAGGAAGCTTCAGGTAATAGGCAGCTCGCACAGCAAAATCGGCAAAAAATTCCACGTTTCGTACACTGTAAGACCTCAACTGGAGATCACAGACTGGAAGTCCATATTCAGCCTTCCTCCGAAGGGGTCGTAGGTACACAGCCTGGACGCTCCTAGGCAGTCGAGCCTTGCTGTTAATGCTGTCCAGGCGTTCCTTCCTAACCGTGTGTCAGTGCATGTCATTTTCTGTTCGGGTAAAGTATAGGAATCAGACCATTGTTTCACTTGCAGTTCGGATGTTTGCCTATTTAATCGCAAGTCAGCCTTGAGTGGTCTTAAGGGGCTGTGGGAGGATTTGCTAACGGTGCTTGTAACTCAGCTGAGCCTTCCGTGGGATGAATTTCAATCGGAGACTTAATACGATGACCTGCCTCGGACGGGGTGCTGTAGTTTCTAGGACATGCCAGTAGCTAACAGATATCAATATGTTGTCACTGCCTGGGACGGAAAACCTGGGGGATGGCTACCTGTAACTGCCTGCCAGTCCATGAAAGAAGCCGAGGATTGAGAGACAGCGACATGGTGGATAACAAAAACTATGAGGAATGGATGCGATGTATTCTTGATACCAAAAACGCGTAAAGAGGTAGCATAGTACGGAGTATCTACAATTCCTACAATTACGTGCAACATTTTTTGCACCGGCCTGCTGCAGAATATGGGATGATATCATTTATGATTGGCTACGTATTTGACCGCCTTTGACTTAATTTTTACTCGGGGTTCCTGAACGATCACATGATGATATTATTGAACGAACGGCAACTACATACTATTGTTGATTCCTTAATATGGGCGGAATCATTCTTCTAATATTCCATTGCACTTTCTTCCTGTAAGAACACAGCAGGGCGGTCAATATATTCATCTGCCATAGAGGTTCAAACTTTTTTTATTGAAACTCTCTCTGATTAACAAATTCTACTTTCATCACTTCTATCCCAAAGCTAGGGCGAGCCTTTCAGTTCAGGACATAATGACACCATCCGGCAGCTTGTCGTTCCAGCAGGCAAGTGAGACGTTGTCATTTCTGAGAGATCGCTTGCCGGAGTCTTTGAAGACACCTGAAGTTGCAATAGTCTGTGGCTCTGGCTTGGGAGGGCTTGCGAGCACAATTCATCGCTTGCCACGAGTCGAGTTCGACTATGCTTCTATACCCCATTTCCCTCGCTCTACAGGTAAACGTCCCTATATATTTCGGCAGTCTGAAGTTATATACTCATTTATGAAGTCGCCGGGCATGCAGGGAAACTGGTTTTTGGACTTCTCAACGGACAAGTGCCTGCAGTGTTGATGGTTGGCCGTGCTCAGTGAGGTTCAACAACAGCGGCAACACCGCGCAGCTCACTAACTACAAGAAAGTTACTATGAGGGGCATTCAATTGACCATGTTACATTTCCTATACGCGTTTTCAAACTCCTAGGAGTCGATACAATCATCTGTCAGTTATCCTCTACCTCAGCAACACGAGGCGCACATAGTTCAGTTGCTAACAATATATCTGGGCTTGTAGTAACCAATGCCGCCGGCGGTCTGAACCCTGAATATATGGTAGGAGACATCGTTTTGCTAAATGACGTAAGTATATTACCATCATATTATTCAGAAACATGCTTGACGAATAACCGTAGCACATATTCCTGGCTGGCCTGGCGGGAACACACCCTCTACGGGGTCCAAATGCCGAAGAGTTTGGTCCTCGTTTCCCTGCTCTATCAGATGCTTACGACCTGGAATTACGTTGCCAAGTTCACAACGCCTGGGCCACGATTGTGCGCCCACAAAGCAGGAGACTGCACGAAGGTGTATATGCTTTCGTTGGGGGACCTAGGTAAGTCATCACTTTAGTACCATGCTCAAATATGCAATGCTGAACTTCTCAGCTATGAGACCAGAGCCGAATGCCGTATGCTTCGCCAACTCGGCGCGGACGTGGTTGGCATGTCAACCGTACCAGAGATCGTTGTTGCCAGGCATTGCGGTATCCGAGTCTTGGCCCTTAGCTTGGTAACGAACAATGCAGTTCTTTCCCCTGCTCCCCGTGGAGACGACCATCTTCTTCAGGGGAAAAATGTGCACGAGCTAGACACAATATTGCAAGAAGGCAAACCGAACCATGAGGAAGTTCTCGAAGCTGGCCGCTCCGCTGCCATGGACATGCAGGTATGTACCATATTTGACACGTTTCGCCACGCGCTGCTATTAACACCCGTCTGAAGAGGCTTGTTATACAAGCTGTTGCGAATGTTTTCACACGAACCTCCCATGGTGAGGCGACCAGTGACCAATGATATTAAGGCACGGTTGCCAATGACCGATCAGTTGCAGTGATCAAGCGTTAGATGCGGATTCTCAGACCACAGCAAAGTGTGTGCCTCTCAGAGGGTTTCAGAATTAGTTGTCTTTGTAAAGCCTGGACCGTAATGCTTGTCCATGAGAGGCTTAATAATTCACTTCATCTTGGTGTTCCTTCTCCCTCGCAACTTGTTGTAGTAGGACCGTTTGCCGCTCTGCTTTAGGGTCTGAATGTCCCTATACTTAGCTTCAAATCGCTTGTTTTCCCGCTCAACAGCCAATGCTTCTTCAACAAATGTCTTCTTTCGATCTCTCTTTGCAATCCGGCTACTGAAAAATTCTGTTGGGCCTTCGATAATGGTTCCCACTTGAGAGTACTTAGGAGGATGTGCTTTGCCGCCTTCCTTTTTATAGTGCCTCTTTGGGTCCAGTACCGAACGCATTCGGAGTAACTGGAGGTCCCTCCTGAATTCTGTCGTCAACTCCGTCTTCGGAAGATCGAACCAAGCGCTGCCGGCCGTAGGTTTGTCCTTAAAAAAAACCGTGTTAGCTTTCGTCCTGATTCAGGAGGTACCACGAAACAACAATGAGATAGTATAAATGCTCAGAGTAACTATGATAAAAAAAAGTACTCTCATTGGCACAGCGCAACCCAATACGGGTTGTTAAACTGCATCAAGCGCTCACGCGATGGGATAAAATTTCCTCATGGCATTTTGGAAGGAATGCGATAACGACAAAATACAAAGCAGCCAATCTTACCTTGGAACTTGATTTTGGTGCATTGACTCCAGCCAAGTGCCTGTTAGGCTGTAGCATATCCTTGCGATTCTCCGTGATTTGTCCTGGACCGACAACTGCGATATCCCCGTGCTGCCAGAGATATGGTCGCAGAGAATCCACAGATGCCAATTTTGGGATACTGGGCAACATAAAGTCAGTTTTCCGAAGGTACAGTGCATGCTAGTAAGATGCAAAATTGTTGAGACATACTGTATTGAAGTGGCGTCTATACCATCATCAGCCGAGTCAACGGCACCAGCTGCATCGACTTTGACATTACTGGGTCTTAGTCGATCTTCAGCCTCGTAAAGCAACTGCTCTATGTCTTGATCATTCAAACCAACCTCATCCGGTGGTGAGGTGCCGGCAAGTTCAATGCATGTTGCTCCTGTCATGTCCTATAGCGAGCAATTCGATGGCCTGAAAGAGACAAAGTAGAGTAAAAGGAGAATTAAAAGTCGGAAGGCCACAAGCTAGGTATTTATAGCGGAAATCGAGGGTTGCTCTTTTCTCGAAATGGCTGGGGTCAAAGGGAAAATTTGTGCTGTGGGGCGGAAGCCGACCTTAGATCCTTGGCAACAATCATGATGTGCGACATAGGTAGGCTAGGTACGTAGGTACCGTACTCCGTGTTGCCTGCTGGCTAGCCCATCCAGAACCTGGTACTTCCTATCTGCTCAACACTTGGTGCTACATGAGTATATTGAACACCTCACCAGGTCGTTTGTGTAAAGATGCCGTATCCAGCTATGCAGCTATGTGTGTAGGCGTTTAAAAGTTTGAGTATAACATATTAATCGACACATCCCCGTTGGTAGAACTACCTCGTCCATTAACTACTACTATATACAAGCCGCAACACCTCCCGCGACATTTCACTATGTACAGAGTATAATGCACGTGAAACAGATCATTCTAGACCGCTTTAGTTGATGCTTGATTGAGATGTCAAGGCGCATGCCGGATACGGGTGGGAAAGCGCTTCGCAGGTGTTGCGTAAGGTTCCAAGAGAGGTGATGTTGGCCTTAGGTGCTAGTTTGTACTTAGTATGTGGCAAGAAGTACATTTCGCTACCCTACTCCATTGGAAAGGGATGGGGCTAAAATATATCATGAGTACCATTACGATGCCTCTATGCTTGATCCCGATATTCTGGCGAGTCGCTTTCTTTCTCTCTCCATATTATGTGGTGAGTTACGTGTGCTGCGTTACTCGTTGGTACCTACCTAGCCATCAAATATAGCCATCGGGGTACCACGAAATGTTATCTAGGCAGCTAAATGCTGGATAGAAAAAGGTGGGAAGGCTTGACTCCTCCGTTGATCAGATTAAATAGTTGAATTGAGGGTACATATACGGAGCTTAATCTATCCACCCAAAGTCGTGCGTAAATTGAGAGCATCGACTGTCTAGGTACGTATTTAGGTGTTCTAGTACGGAGAGGTACTATGTAGTAACTCCCGCAGTGCTTGTGATGCCAAGAGGCTTCTGCTAGCGTCACTCGAGCTGCGCTATGCTTGGCGCGGCGTTGTTGCACACCACCTGAATACTACCGTGCAAGGGCATCGATTAGATCTCTTTCGGACGCCTGGCCATCACCGCCATCTTTCATCCTGCCTCCTAATTCTCGGTCGCCTGCCAGACAACCAGGCCAAGCTATTGTTCGCTTAAGCTCCCAACTCTGTCATCAGAGAGACTGACCCGCCTTCCTCGACTCCGTCGCGTCGCATAGCGCCCGTTGTCACGTTGTGTAGAGAACGGCTTCTTATCTGCTTTCCGAAAGAGAGTGCTGTGCATGTGTTATATTCAATAAAGAGGGGCCGAAAAAGTCATCTTATCATGGAACAAGCTGCGCAGAACGCCGGACAGCAGCAAGGCAGACAGCAGCCCGTGTACGACACCAGAAATGGTGGGCATTATGGTACTTTCCCCTAAAATAGTCAGAGTCCTAACTCGAGTCACTGATGTTGTGTCCTTAGGCGCCAGTGCAGCGGTACAGTTACCTGAAAGCCTGCGAGCACTCTTCTGTTCTATCAGCTGACCTGCTTTACTTGTCTAGCTTTCAGCTCAAGGGTATGCGCCTGTTGCCGAGCTTTATACCGGCACATGGGCAAATGTGAGTTCTCTGGGCGTGCCGCTCGCATAATTGCCAGAGTATAGTTGTTGACTGATCCCTGCCAGGTCAATCAAGGTTTGCAGGGGACAGCCCGTGATATCCTCACGACATATTGGCAGCATATCATCAATCATCTCGAATCAGACAATCATGATTATAAAATACACCAGCTACCACTGGCCCGCATCAAAAAAGTCATGAAGGCCGACCCAGAAGTTAAGATGATATCTGCAGAGGCGCCAATACTTTTTGCGAAGGGCTGTGATATTTTTATCACTGAGCTGACTATGCGGGCATGGATACATGCAGAGGATAATAAGCGGCGTACGCTACAGAGGTCTGATATCGCCGCGGCACTATCGAAATCTGACATGTTCGATTTCCTCATTGATATAGTACCCCGCGAGGAGGCAACGTCGCATGCGAAGCGATCTAATCAGACAGCTGGGACTTCTGCAGGCGTTGCTGGTCCTGCCGGGGCCACCGGCCAACTGCCACCGTCCCAACACGGTGTTCAGCATCACATGCCCCCCCCAGACTATAGTTCTCTTGGACAACATGGCCTTCAAGATCAAGAATATCGACAGCCGACAATGTATGCCGGAGCTGTGCAGTCGGACCCAACGGCAGCCTATGGCCAACACCAGCCTCAAATGTTCGAAGGAATGTACGCCGCCTATCCGCATCTACCCCCACAGCAGGTATGTTAAAGAGCCTTTATTGCCTGAGCTCTGTATAAACCGCTCTTGATATGTTTTGTGCATCTCTGTCTTCTCACTTTGACTAATTCTTTGCGCGCGAGAAGTGAGTGACAGGGCAATTGGAAGCCAAGTGCAGGCTGGGTAGCAAACTAAGATAATACATGCTGCCGCGCCATGACGTCGATTCCGTTCTATTGCTAAAGCCATCGGCTATGTTAACGTGGTGTAGCGATTATCCGTTGCAAACGCCACAAATATTTTGCGAAGCAGATCTCATACCCAATTTCACTTATGGAATATACTTTGTTCATATATGATTTTCTCCAAAGACAAGCAGCTTAAACCGTTCGATGGTAGAATAAAATAGTCCAAATAGTCGGCATAGTTCATGACTTCTTACCAAACCTTGATGAGAGAGTGGTAAACTTATCCGTCTTTACAGGACTTTGAACGGTGCGTATGATCCTTCCTGATGGTTAGCAATAAAATCAAACCATGATGTTGAGAAACGTACTTCTCTAATAAGATTGGGCCATGGATAGCATCTACACGGCCATACTTCTTGTTCCTCGTGGATATGTCATAGAACTCGTCAGTGTTGTCTGCTTGCATCAACTGCACTGTCTGCTGTAGTTCATCGAGATTTTCCCGAAGTATAGGAACACCGAGACTATCCACAAACTGATATAGATATTCGACATCTTTTGCAAGAGCCAGCACACCATTTGGATTGATCTTTTTTACCTCCGCAGAAAGAGGAAGTGCCTGGAGAAGGTCAGTGGACAGTCTCGACAATATCCATTGGCACTACATACAAGAATCATATTGGCAGCATGGCTAAGAGCATCAAAATAGATAAGCTCTTTAATTTCTGTAGGTAGGCCGAGCAACGTTGAGTTCATGATGTTTGATAGAAAACGCGTCAGTGTCTGCATGTAGTTGCTTGGCTCGGCAGGTGGAACAGATGCCATCCAGTCGTACTCAGCCGTTTCAATAAGGTCATCAATCTTGGAATTAACAACCTCAAAGATACGTTTCTCAGCTGCCTTCTTATTGCTTTTAAACTTGTCAGTAGCATTCAAGGTGACTACATCACCAGAAACATTTTGCGATCTAGCAGCGGCGAGTAACTGCTCAAGTTCACGACAAGCAAGTTCAAAATGTTCCAAGTTTATCAGGATTTGCACGATCTGTCCCAGATATTGTGAAGACAGCCGCTCCACAAGAGTGTCGCAAACTTTGCTAGATAGAAGCTCATCCAGCGCCTGACTTGGTCAGTAATCTCCGTGACCTGTTCAACATATCGTACCTACATCTCTAAGTGTTTCATCAATAACGCTAGAATGGGAGAAGTCGTCATTGGCAAAAAAGTAGAACTGATTTAGGAAATTCCGGATGTCAATGCAGCATAATGGATACATTTGGGAAAATGGTAAGACACACGGAAACCTGCACCCTAGTCAATATAAAGAGCATCCCAATAAAATGACGGAAAACGTACGCTTGTTCCTCTCTTGGCTTTTCAGGATTATACCAACTGACATTCAGTACTTTGTCAAATTCTTCAATTGTCTGGATAGGCATAGGCATATAATCATCGGTTGATACTATCTTTAACGGATCTCAGCATAGAGCTTGCATAATAACGTTAAGAGGACATACCTCTTGGAAATCATCACTGAATCTTTTTTCCAGTAACTCGGCGTATTTTTTGAACAAAGTCAAGAGAAAATCATCAAATACTCCAACATGGAAGTCCCAGGTCTACTATATTATTAGTGTGAGAGGCTCGAGAAATATTGAAGCCGGGAGATCAACAGACGTTCATTGTTTGCATAAACAATGCGATGAGATTTTTTATCTTCAGCAGACTCTCGGCATTGTCAACCTCATGTAGTGCCTTTGATATTAGGATCACGGCCATCTGGCACATTGAATCCCATAGCTCATCAACCTAATCGAACATGTTCAGTAAACTGTAACTACCGTTGTTCGCAAAAGAGAACCCACGTCAACCGAGGACCTAAGGTCTGGGACTCTCTTCATTGTGGAGCGTTCGACAATGGCAAACCCCGCCATTTCCTCGAGAAGGTTGTGTAGACTAGCACCATCCTCATCGATGAGAGTTATTGATGTCGGGATCAGAAGCTCTTTCTGCCGACGTCGTGTATTAGCGTACTCGATTCGAAATCTGTCCATATGTCCTAATGACCGATGGATATGGAGGCATTCGAATAACGGCGTAAAGTCAACCTGGAGTTCCTCGTTCTGCAAGAGATCGTATTCTTCGCTCTCATCGGAAACCAGCTCGATTGCTGAATTCAGCTTGAATTGACCCAGGTACGGCGATTTTTCTGCTCTCCCTTTTTGCCTGGTCTTCCGCAGGTCTGTATGATACAAAGCAATCTCTCCAAGGTACTGCGACATCTCCCGAATTCTGTACAACCAAGTATTGAGATCAGACATGACTGCCTCGGCTATTGCTTTTTGCGATGTAGGAACCGAGCGCTGAATCATATCAGCAATTTTGTACTGCGTCACACCTTTTAGATGAACATTTTGCAGTTCTTCTAGGGCGCGAAGTGCGGCATAGTGATTCTTCTTGGCGAGCAAATCATGGACTTGATTTGCGAGACGCAAAACTTCAAGACAGTCTTGTATAGCTCGAAATGTCTCATCAATGTTCTGCCGGTGACTTCGTGACTCCACCAAAGCTCTCTTCTGCTCGGCCAGCTTCTCCGTACTTGCTTGTATAGACTGGTTGAGGTCCAAAATCTCAGAGGTAAGGCTAACCGTGCCTTCTCTGATGCGTAGAAGTTGGTTCACTGAGGTGACAAACTCCTGGTGATTTGTATTGCAAATGATCTCTATCTCGGCCTCCTTGTCACCAGCAAATCTAGACAACGTCTGTAATAGTTGGGATGTTCGGTTTCCAATGCTGTACTCTTTGATCGAAGGAATCAATTGATCGAGATAGTCTGCGTCCGAAGGAGATATAATAAGCTATAGGAGACCATGAGTTAGTGTTCCATCGTATTATCCATCTTTCCTCGCGTACCTGGTTCAGGAGGTATGATGATTCATTACGTGATGATGCCACGGACGGCATATTGACGATCTCTGTATGGAGAAACAGCCCTAGCCAGAGCTTCAGAATTGACACTCTTGAATGCTGTAGATGAAGACCCACAATTGACCAGGGCAATAAATTGTTCACAATAGGAGGAGATGAGTCCTCAGGAATGGCCAAAGACGACTTTTAGTAAAAGGGGCATGAAACACTCAAGGGTTTTTTGGTCATACAATTGAAGATATCGATTAATCAGGAGGCTGATGATCACTTGGTCCTGGAACGTGGGAACATACTGTATGTTGAGGTTGCACGGGTTGTAGGATATAGTCAGAAGTAGTACGAATAGTAACCTAGGTACACTCTACTAGGTTGTACCATCTTCCTTCCGATCCTCGGTTGTTGCGGGGACCTCGAGGATGGAACACGCATTCCTCTAGCTTCTTTCGGTAATGACCTGTTCGCGTAAATCTGCTGCCCCAACTTTAAATGAATCTACCTTATCTACTACCTAGCAAGGATTATTGCTTAAGCTATTTTGGAAATGATACTTGCCTACTTCGAATTCCTAATAGTGGATGTATAGCTAGCTGCTTTTGCCGCAGATTCCGAATCTTTGCAGTATCGAACTCCTCATCATAAACTTCAAAGGTCTTTCTTGTCTGTATATATAATCTTCTTGTACTTTATGTGCCATGGAAGCGTCATGCGGATACACAGTCATGGAAGGTAGAAAGAAATTGAAAGCCCCCTGCAGTAGTGCTAGTAGCTATCCTATTCGCTCTCCACAGCCTAGAAGCATCCCGTACTGAAAACCCCGCACTCAGAAGAACCCGCAGTCCGTAAGAAAAAGAGAGATATGCAGCCTGTCGAAGAATAGATGAAACACCAAATTATTTACTAGTAAAGAGACAGTGAAGAGACGGTGATGCCAATATTGATTCAATCTTCCCAAACATGACTCAAAATATAATATACCTTTAGTTAATCCTATGCTTGGCTATCATAGATTTAACCCATCTTCACGCAGTCCAGAAGAGGTATGAAATTTTACTTTCTTATCACTATACAATGAACAAAAGATACAAAATAAAAAAAAGACAGTTGAACTACAAATCAATTAGTAATCGTATCCAATGTCTTACAGGTCTAGAAAGGCCACTACAAGCTCCCACCTGGTATATGAATCATATCCATATTCCCCGCCAGAACAGCAACTCATTGACATCCAATTGCATCAAATAATGCTCATATGGAGATTTTTTCTGTGTTAGGAGGGTGAGTGATAATAGGTATATACTCTAGTACTCGTTCTCCACCCTTGGCGCCTACGTTGGGCATGGTAGTCGTGGTTTTGTTGCAGTATGTGTAATAACAGGTTCTATACGCAGCGTGCTCTTGGGTTTCTTTCATGAGACATGCTCCCCCCCCCCCCCCCCCCTCCTTTATTGTTTGTTTTCTTAAAACGCATCCTCTCCTTTCCCTTCTGCATTTCTAGGCACCTGGTATTTCACTCGACCGAGAGGTTGGGCCTGGATTGGTGGTCTGCTTGAGTATTCCTCTAAGCGAGAAATTGCTTCTATTTCAATATCACAAACCTCATGATACAATCCTGTTATAGAGAGTTTTTGAGCGCCTCTTGATTGTGTGAGTTTGAACTTGCTGCTTCAAAAGACCACATCGAAAAGGAGGAATTCTGCTGGATTCGGCTGAGGTCTTCGAGACAGCCTGACAGGATGAGGCCGAACGATTCCTCTCACGGCTTGAGCAGTCCCTGCTCTACAAATGAGATCGGCTCTGTCAATGGATCTCCAGATACCAAGCTTACGGCATACTCCCCCGAGGATATGCGATCCAAGTGTCTCTCTGAGCCCCGCGTTGGTGATCCATTGAGCGATTCTGGGGTCCGAAAACTCTACCCGGCGTAAGTACGCAAACATATACAGTTCTAGACTTTTTAATAACATGTATAGATCATCTGATCCTTTTCTGGTCTCCACGAGCACATCTAACCGTGTGCAGCTTTCTCCAACAGCTGCAAGCTTCACACCAATTGGAATGGCAGACAGCGTTTCAATTGGGAACCAAACTCTATCTCTGTCTCGAGGATTTCCCAGTGTTAGTTATTTGACTGCTAATTCAGATGTCGACCCAAGTGAAGGAAAACAAGGGCACTTGCAAGCCCCAGAGAAGAGCCCACCAAACTATGGAATCATCGGAAACAGTCAAATCGATTTGAAACATCAACATTTCACCATGATCCATGAAGCATTTGATGCTGAGAGACGAAGTCGCGCACTAGTTATTGAGAATGTGCCGAAAAACCTCACGTATATGTCCTTGGCAGGATTCTTTAATGTATGTGACTCCTTGAAGGTAAAGAGCTGGGGGAGGGGGGGTTGCAAAATAAGTATTGACTGATATTTTTTGTTTAGCGTCGCGAGTTTGGCTCTCTCAGAGGCCCTTTGCTTTCAGAGCTCAATTCAATGGGCAAGATATATGTTGCGTTCACCGACAGCCGTGAAGCCACGAAGGCCATTGAAAAAGTCAAGATCCTCAGGCCTGAATGGCACGTCTCTCCTATTGCTCCCAAGGAGTATGTGCAGCATGTTGAGCCTTCTCTTTTGTCGCAAACATCGGATTACGAGGGCCAATTGCTTGTAACTGTCTACTATGACGGGCGAAACCCCAATCTCAATCAACACAGTGTTGCTCGCTCACTTGAAACCCTTGCCATGACATTCGGCGATATAAAGTCATTTACCCCCCTACCAATTGGCCAAGAAAGCATCTGCGAGTTCCACATCGAGTATTTTAATACTCGTGATGCCGAAAACTTTATGACTACACTGAATGGGACCTCTGTTGATGTGCGTCGACAATCCCTTCTTTTGGTCCTACGCAGTTAACTAACATGATGAAAGGACTGCATCCTCGAAATCTCATTATTCAGGCCAGATATGGAAGAGAGAAAAGGTGGGCTGCCTTTCACAAGTACGACCCCCTCAAGGGAAGAGTTCTCTCCACATGAGACTTCTTTCAACAAAAACGCTTCTTGGGCTTCGAATCGACCCAGCCGATCATCTTATATGGAGCTTAGCCCTACCGGTCGGTCTACAGTGCCTCCTGGTGAGCATGCTAGTCTTATGGACTGGATGTCAAAGGCTGGTGAAAGGATCTTGCCTTCTCCACGCCGCGAGCTCAGCCGCTATCCTGACCTACGCATGGGTAGCCAAAATGCAGTTGATATAGAGCGAATACGTCTTGGCTTGGATGTTAGAACTACGGTAAAACCGCCATTTCTTTATTTTTTGGGTTAATTGTTGACAAGCAACTTTGCTGCAGATTATGCTTCGTAATATCCCAAACAAGATTGACCAAGTAAGCATTCCTACGCAAAGCAGCCTCACTATTGGGATAGCGTTAGGGCAAACTGATAAAGCAAGGCTATGCTGAAGGCTATTGTGGATGAGACAAGCCATGGAAAATACGATTTTATGTATCTACGAATTGGTAAGTTGACTTGTCCTCGCTCAAATCATGGACAAAATGACTGACCACTGTATCGAACCTACAGATTTTGCAAACAATTGCAAGTACGACTGTCATTCAACTATCACGCCCCAATCCCCAAATCTAACGTTTGATATATCAGTGTCGGATACGCCTTCATAAACTTCGAAGATGTAAGTCCATTTAACAGTCTCTTTGTACACAGTACTTATCACTAACAAATGCTAGCCAATCGATATTATTGATGTCAGTATCGTCTTACTACCTTCTATACCAACAAATCTAAATTGATATAGTTTGTCAATGCGAGAGCGGGGCGAACCTGGTGAGAACTTAATGTCCAGGCATGAAAAGTATCGCTTGCCATTGTATTAACGCACTGCAGGAATTGTTTCAACAGTGATAAGGTGGCCGAGGTATCTTATGCCAGTTCGTACTCTTTCCAATCCAGGTAGAGTATGATGAAGAGTCTAAATCCTATAGCAGCTATCCAAGGAAAAGATTGCTTGGTGCAAAAGTTTCGAAACAGTTCTGTCATGCTGGAACACCCGTCGTTCCGACCAAAGGTCCGTGTAATCTGTGCCATAAAGGATGCAAGTACGTGAGTGAAACAGAAGCTTATTATTTGCAGATTTTCCATACTGGAACTGGCCCTCTCGCTGGCACTGAGGATCGCTTTCCAGGGCCGGACAACCCTTCGAAAATGCGCAGGAGCATTGAGAATGCAGAACACGTTGGTGAGTAATACGTAAAAGACTTGAAAAACTATCGAGATTCATGTATGAGCCTTCTAGGACTATTTGCCCCCCGCGTGGGCCAGCAATACCGTGACGAGCAGCGCAGACGCCGTTCTCAATTCGACCGTGGAACGACTGCCGCTGAGCGCGAAATAGTCTACGTCCGAACAATCGCACCGAGACGCCCCTATGGTGTCGGTAACGGCCTCAAAAGTGCCCCTTGTACTTATCCTGGCATGAAAATGTGGTACGATTCATTGCACAAAAACGGACAACGAATTTCTTGACTTACTATAGCTCAAGGGCTGCTTCTGATCAGGCCACTCCTTCATCTTAGCTGGGAAAGACAACCAAGTCTTACGACCTGCGTTTCGCGTAGCGGCAAGTCATTACGTGGCGCTTCCCGTTGTCGTCTTAGCTAGCAAACTGTCTATTCTCCTTTTCTGCGTCTTTTCCGTTTCTTGTGCTGAGTACCAGTGTTTGATTGGAGTGACAGTCAGCATTTGACCCATGGGAGAAACCATTATGGCCCTGGTTGGCTTGGTACGGTGTCTCAAACTGAGTCTAAATGTTGGAAGCCTTTCTCTGTGAGATTTAGGTTCCCTTCCCCTGGTGTCTCTTGAAACCCCGAACCCGATAATCTAAAGATTCAAATACAAATTATAAAAGTTGAAAAGGATTATTCTCAATACCCAACTATTCTCCCATTCGGGTGAAGGTAGATCGTTGAACTATTAGGTTTTTCATATTGCCATTGAAGGGCGAAGCGACGGAAATACAACATGATCTGTGCATCCTTGCATCCTTGAGGTAGGTATGCTACCGAACCTATCTGATGTAAGCCGGCGACGTTGAATCGGACCTGGTCTGTCATACAATCTCAGTTGCGCCTGCTGACTAAACTATGACGAAACATTTTTGATTTACCTACTGGGTTCATGTTCTCTTTCTCCTCTTGCGTGCTTCAAACCAACCTATCATTCCTCAACACAACACAGAATCGCTCATATCACGCTCGGGCTAGTAGTCGACAAAGACTTCTATTCACGTTGTAGAGAATGATTATGGATGTGGATAAAGTATCTGCGGTGCATTCTATACTTCAATTGATCTTTCACCGCAATAAAAATCAACATCGAGGGACTAAGTGGTGGAGGTGGTTGTCAATCCTCAAACGGGATACCTTTAAGCTCGCAAAAATTCTTGACCATCGGTCATCATATGGCGGCGCGGTGTTCTCTGCTGATAAGTATAGATATTATCTGGCGATCCATGTTATACCAAAATGCTACCTGTAAGTTAGGGAAGTGGGCGAATTCCTACAATAATTCTCTTCATTTGGCCCAATCTCATCAAAGACAATCGCTAACTTGGTACTCAGAGCATTCTCCACAGTTGTTGCCGACGGGCAATTCTCTACTCTGGGGACAGTACTACTAGCCACACTTGCTCGTCTCACAAGAGTGACAGGCCTAGATAAGGAGCTGAAGATGTCATCCCAAGCAGGAAAGACTTCGGCTGACCCCGTCTGTGGCATTGGCGCCCAAAAGAATGAGGACGTTGGGGTCGTCCTCTGTCGTCGTGAAGACTCTTCAACACCCGTGATGCCATCTACGACTAAGAACTCAAACAATTTACGTCGTGCTCATCACGGGACTGCTTCAAAAGACCATACGAGCGCAGTGGGGTTGGGCGGGAAGAAAATGCGAAAGAAAGTGCGGACGAAGGATGCTATTGACGATCTATTCGACAGCCTGCTATAGTACTATAGAATGATTATGGGACACAAATTTTAAGATATGAATAATATATTGAAGAGCACAATCTTGTTATGAGTAGGGAATGAGGTCCTAGAGGTTGGTTCCCTCTAACTCGGCCTCAATGCTCCAGTTGTCTGCTTTAAAGAGAGAACCAGACCTCGCTAACTAAATTCACAACCAAGTGGTTGATAATAGTCCATGCCATTGCATAGAGGTACTTGGGGGAGAAGACAGTCCAGATAAAGAGATGCGCTCTCAAGGTTGTGCATGCTGCCATGACAGGCATCAAGGTCGCCGCCATATGGAAAGTGACAACAGCCATGTGGGCATTTCTTTCATGTCGAGCCTGTCTTAGTCGGAGGACCCGAGCAGCCGATACCCACCATATGGGCCCAGTCCAATTGCTTACAAACGTCAGAATACCGACCAAGATGACGCTGTAGTTGCCAATGCCATTATATGCATTAGACAGATCAACAGAGGATATAGAATTTGAACCCCCGAATGCGAAAAATGTCATATATTGCGCGAGCAAAGATGTAATCGCTAGCTCAAGGGCAGGCAGTTTCATCGAAGCAATGATATCTGCATGAAGCCTGAATATTAGAAATAGCGGGATGTTTGTGGCTCTTGACTGTGTTATTAAGAAAAGAGTGAGGGCATCATGGAAGACGGTGCTCGAGAAAACTGTATCCTGTTAGCCGATGCCTGAGGGAGGACCAGTGGTTGAGACTTGCCTCCCAACATAGGCAGTTGTTGCGAAGGTTTGCCAGAATACATCGACAAAGGGACGAGGGAGAAAATTCCACCTAAAACTAGTCGTGTGAAAATGATAAGAGACCCTCCATCGAGTATCTTCCTCAAAGAGACAAATATAATCTCAGGAAGAAGCTCAGGGAAGTCTGAGGCCACATAGGAGAGTTTCAGAATGAATGCAGCTGCCGTCACTGTGAAACAACATAGTCGCCATAGCTTTGATAGACAACGGTTGGCCAAGAGGTGCCTAGAAGTGTCGGCGTATGTTAAGACCACAAAGAGCCACAATATTGACCGGTGAGAAGGGAGAAAAGTCCGGGCAATATCTGGTTCAGCAGCAAATTTCTGACCGGTCTGGTTCCAGCGTCTCAAAACTCTGTGAGATAACAGCAGCGCAACTGCCCCATACTTGGAAAGTATCAGTTCGTACAGGCGATGGCAATTTCTCAAATTGTGCTGTGAGAATGTGGAGCAATGCGGACGCAAACATGTTTTGACATGCAAGTAAAATGCCCACGCAGTGAAAGCCCAATTCCAAAATTGTTGCTCCTCCTCCACGTAGCTACTAGCAAACATCATGGCGCCGTAACATAGGATACTTAGTGCATAGAATGTCCCGGCATGCCCGGAGTTTGAGAGCAGTGTATACGTGGTAGGAAAAGAAAGCAAGACAACGAGAAATGTGATGAATAACCCCAGAAGAAGATTACTGAGATTGTAATCACTAGCTGCACTGCTCATTACCCTCTGAGCAAGTTTCAGGAACCGAAATAAGGCAGACTCGAGCTCAGGATAAAGGTCATCTTTATCGACTCCGCCAGAGTCGTTGAGCAAATGATTGATCTGGATCCACGCACACTGGGCCATATCGACGTCAGGTAATGGTTCAATGTCACAACTGATACTATTCGAATGGGGCTCAAAACTGTAATTAGGGTATGTCTCCTTCATTTTCCTCAGTAACTGCCTTGAATTTGAGAGCAACAAATGAATCCTTTGCGAACCTAAGCCGAGAGTACCCACAGTATAAGCCCCTGATCTATGTACTGTGAAGGGTAAATGTATACATACTCAATTTCCACATGCCAAGAAGTTCTGGGACAAATACGCCCAAGCTATTCAAAGGTATCGGGAAGCCTAGAAGACCTGCTAATGTTGGAGTTATGTCTGTTTGCTCGACCGTACGGTAGTATTGGAAGTCGCTGTGCGAGTCTGTGGGAGACTGTCTGGAACTCTTCAAGGCTTGAAACTTCGGTGATATGAAAAGCAGTGCGGGTGATGTCTCACCAACTGATGAACCGCCATGATTTCCGGCATCGTTCATCCCATGGTCACCACACAAAACGAAAAGAGTGGACTGGAGATGTTCTTCCTGCTCCATGCTCGTATATATGTTATTGACAATGGTGTCCATTTCATAGTGTTTTGTTACCATGTAAGGGCTGTATAATTGTTATCAGGCTACCCCGAAGCTAGACACTGGCTCGATTGTTTTACCTGTGGGGACCTGTTTTGTGTCCTATATGATCTAGACCGAGGTAATGCATGATAAATGCTGACCAGTCGTTCCGCAAGAGTTCGTTGGGAATGTGGCGAGTCACGTTGTTGTCTACTTCGCTGAAGTCCTGCGCCAAACTTGCTCAGTCTTCATATATCGGCCATCTGGCTTTTACTAACCGACACAAAGAAACTTGTAGTTCCATCCGCTCTCTCAAACATCCCAGGAAACAGCTTGAGCCAAGTGTCATCCCCATACATGACGAGGTGCTCCCCTCTTGCCTTCAACTGTGCTAACCAGGTGTCCTGATATATCAGAGTCGACGAAGTATCAGACTCTGCAATATTCAGAATTACATCCAAGAAAGATGGTATGGACCCAGTTGTTATGGCTTTAAGACGGGGCATCGTGACTGTTGGAGAACCAGCATAAGCAGTGAATGGGAGTGCAGCCCCTGATCGAATCAAGCTATCAGGATTGAAGTTAGATCGATAACTCGTGTTAGATATTTACTCTTGCCGACCTTTGGGTAAAGAAGAACCCAGAATCATTGGAATAGACAAAGTCACTAGTAAGTTTAGCTAAAGCACGAAAACCTGAGATTTTGAATACGGTCATACCTCCTCAAGGCATCGATGACCATGAAGATGACTTTATCAAAAGCCTTTGGGACAGTAGTACTGTTGCTGCCATCTTCAAACCTCGCAAGTCCTGACACCAATGGCTTATAAGGAAAAAATCCAGAAGAAAACACTAGAACAGCTAGGGGGGTTAATACATTGGCGATTATTATCGCCCAGCTTCCCGGTAGGATGGCCATTTAAATCCAGGTCAATGATCAAACACAAGATAAGTCGGCGTATTTTGCATTTGGTTAGACTTTCCACATTCCAAGACTAGTACATTCGACGCGTTCGCTTCAAATGAGATGTGGCATCCGATCTATGATGTATATACTGACAGAACTGACCGCCTTCTGATTTGGATAGTACACATTAGTATAGCATCAACCGTGAGCACTACTGAAATATTGCTACTTGCTTTCGTGAATCACATTGAGATTCTGTTCATTCCATGATTGATGTGTTTTCTAGGGCAAGTACTACATTTATGGTATGTAACTGGATTGGCACACTTTATCCGAGTAGCACACACGTATCATAGTAATATGTTTAAGTAACTCGGCAAACCAAAGATATATGTATGCACCAATATATTCCTTTTGTACCACACTTCCTTTTTTGGAATGGTGAGAAGCAAGGAATCAGGGTGTAGTATCTAGACCAGTATGTCAACTCTTACAATATAACGCCAAACTCCATATATGACAGAAGTTAGACTTTGCCCCCACGTATAGAGCAGAACATCTGACACTTTTCATCGCCTCTTTGAACCCCCTTTAGCTTTTGATTGGTGAGGGCGAAAGACGATAGACGAGCGACTTTTCTTCTGACGCTTTTGAATTCGTCCTGATTTGCTGGTGCGAACCTGACCACCCTTAGCAGTTATCTGATCGATGTCCATATCTGCAGTTGAGTAAGTTAGCACGTGGACGCTGGAAGTATTGAGTGGATAGTCAAGACAGAAATTTCAAGAGAAAGAGACAATTGCACACCTTCATTGGAATTCGAGATGTTGCCATCTTTTTTGTCATCTAAAATTCGCCATACTGGGTCAGTTGTAGTCTGGACTTGCCAAGCGACTGTCACATACTTGGTCCTGTGCTATCGAGTTCCATATTTGTTTTCGCCTCATTCGGTTTAGGCTGGGAAGCGAGCTCTTGTAGCTTTGCAGATAATCTCTCAGTCCTTGCATCGACAGCTGGACCGAAGACTGTGGCTCGGAGTTTGGCTCTATTGCGTTTGATAACACTGGCCCGACCGCTCTTCGCCATAATGGTTGATCGCCGAATTTGAGACAGAGAGAAAGTGATATGAAAGACAGTATCCAGAAAGATAGAACGAGGCAATTGCAAAGATCAATCTGACGTCTATTCTTGTTACAGAGAATATTGTGAAGTGGGAGATTTTTGCTTTCGTCTTTCGCCTCTATTTGCCGGCTTGCCTGGTTTCCCCCCTCCCCCCTCATCTCAATTTTTTTTTTCGGGGAAAATCTTATGTCATCACATTAGAGGCTCTTTTCACCTCCGCAATCGCCGCTGGCCTGGTTGATCGCATAAGGTAGTCAGCCATTGGCATCTAATTCACTTAGAGCTCTCTCTGACCCCGACTTAAACATAAACAGTGTTTCCGACTCAGGTTCATTCACCATATTTTCCCATCTTCACTTGCCCATCTTATCGGAGCATTGAGATGTCTTTGAACAGTGTCGCTGAGCATAGCGCAACTGTCTTGAACTATCTTTCTTCCTGAGATAACGCTCGTATGCTCATTTTGCTACTGACTAGCGGCTGTTTTGACTCTAGCCATGGCTTCTGTCGGTCAATTTTCAGATACACAAAGCCTGGTTGCTCTAGTCAAGACATTTACGAATGCGCAGCTCAAGGACATTCTAAGAAATGAGGGGCTTGCTGTCTCCGGAGTGAAGGCTTCGTTGCAGTTACGCATAATCGATTGTTCGTTATACCTGATCTTATCTTGGATTTCCCTCTCTAGACCTAGTTTAAGGGAATCGTTGTGATAGTATTAACTGCTTATGAACCACATTAGATATTGAGAGACTTAGCCAAGCAGGGCATGTTGAACAGTATGATAACTTGAGGAAATTCATCTATGCTACAGCATGCCGGCCAGTTCCTCCCTCCTCTACATCGCAATCCGTTCCCAGTCAGCTCTTTCAACCACCTCCAGTCAGTCAGCCTTTACCCACGCAGCATAGACCCCCACCTTTGAGTATACAAATGCCATCACATGGACCTACAACTGGTACCTAATCTACCCTTATGGTTCGCCCCTAACCGAGGCCAGGATGGTTTCTAACTGTCATATAGGCCGTTTGACTTTCAAAGATAGCCCTTTCTACACTGTCCTGGAGCCATTGACTTCCACATCAGAATGTAAAGGTAAGACCTTGGTAGTATGGTTCGAGTCCAGTGGGTTTCTTTCTCTCTAATCAGTTGATAAGTACGCGAACAAACTAGGGACAGTGTGGAGCTCAAAGTTGTTCTTACACCAAATGTAGCGGCTAGGCTACAGGCTGACCCAAATCTTCGGGTGATGGTGTATTGCGCTGCAGACACAGGCCTCAATCAATATACTAAGTCGGATGTCGCGTTCCCTCACCAAGTGGAACTTAAGGCGAATCTCGATGAGGTGAAAGCCAACTTGAGAGGCCTGAAGAACAAACCTGGTACAACACGGCCAGCCGATGTAACCCAATATATCCGCAAGAAGCCCGGGTATCCGAATAACATTGTTATGACTTATGCTCTTACCCAAAAGGTAAGCATCAAACTCTTCTTGATGTCCCGTTTATCATTTATGTGATTCGTTGGGTCTTTACACCCAGATGGGATGAGACTGCATGGAGCCAGGCTAACGAGATATAGCGGTTCTTCGTTCTCGTTAATCTTGTTCAGCGACATCCCGTCGAAGAGCTCGTGACCGAATTAAAAAGGAGGAAGACAATTTCGAAGGAACAGGTTTTGCGAGAAAGTATGCATCTGGTCCTATATTCATTGAATTGAGCCTGGCTAATGTCTTGCAGTGAGAAATAAAGCAGGGGACTCAGATATTGTTGCCACGTCCAGTGTTATGTCACTCAAGTGCCCTTTATCGACTCTCCGAATCGAGGTCCCTTGTCGCTCTGTTATATGCACCCATAACCAATGTTTTGACGCGTCTTCGTTTTTGCAACTCCAGGAACAAGCACCAACCTGGTCATGTCCTGTTTGTTCCAAAGCGACAAGTTTTGAGTCACTGCAAATTGACCAGTAAGGCAGAACCTACTGACATGAATCCTTTTGTATGTGTGGCATTTTTCTGATTCCATAGGTATGTCGATGACATACTTCGTTTAACCTCGTTAGACGTTGAACAAGTCATTATAGAACCAGATGGCCGATGGACTAGCCCCAACCATGAAGACTCTGCAAAAGCGGGCGGGTTCACCCCAACAACAGATGACGATGACGATGACGAGTTGATAGAGATTACGGAACCCGGAGTTACGCCCATCAAACAAGAGTCTCTTTCAGCTCCAACTTTCCTAGTTCACCGGACTCCTACACAGTCACGAGAGCCCTCAGCGACATCATCAGCAGCTCATTTATCGACGAACAAGCGCAATGTTGCCCAGGTGATCGATCTTACGGGAAGTGATGAGGATGACGATACCCCAATCAGGCCCGCCAAGCGGCCAGCGTTTAATTCAGTGAGCCGACCCTCACTTAGGCATGACTTTTCCAACTCATACAATGGAGGTTCTATAAACGGGGGCCTCCCATTATCAAGCCAGCATAGTTCTGAATACCCTAGCCAGGCCAGTTACGATGCATCGAATTATTGAAGCATATTTGCACGGTGTCAGGCGCGTTCTGTTTCGTGGGCATATTCACTGCGCAGATTTATTGGGAGCGTTGGACAAGCACATTATGGAATACAGGTTTTACTTTCAATATCTGTGGCTGGTAGGACTTAGAACAAACATTCCTTGTTCTAGGAATACGCTGTGCTCCTTATGTACTCATTGGCCTTGGACCTGATATTCGTATTCTATCTGCTTAGAAGAGCCTATTTAGACAGTAGAGAAGTCCGATCTGGGCTATAAAAGTCGAGTTATGCCTCTACAAATACTCCGCACGTTCTGTCGTAAAGGCCTACTGTAATAAAATGTGTTGTGTGTAATCAAATCCCGGACACACGTTATGCCTCAGGGCTTACTCCGCAAGACCTACTACGTACGTCTGGGACGGGAGGGGGACCCCCGGGCCGGCTTGGCTGGCTTACCCCGAGCCGCATAATCTCCGCGAATCGACTGGGGACAAGGCGTAATATACTGTCGCCAATCGATTTATGCCATATTAATTGCATATCAAGCTACCACGTGTTAGACGAGCACTTCGGAACGACCTTTGCGATGTCTTTCGATACACCGGCTTCACCTCTCAATCCTTCGGATCCTCATGCACGGCTCCTCGGCGCCTCATGTCTTGATTTCCTGCTGATAGAGCTCGTTCCCATGGCGGAGCGCATGGCAAAAGAACTTGCCTCAGAGGACAAGCTACCGGATGACGAGGAAATTCGGGAAACTACATATTTCCGCCTCGAAACTCTGGGTTACAGGGTTGGACAAGGACTCGCAGAACGGTACGCACGATATCTTTAATACCTGGTATCCCACAATCAGTATGCTGGAGGGTGTTCGAGAGCATAAAAGGCACTGGAATCTTGCACATGCTGCTGATTGTGAAGATTTATGGCTAACATATTCAACCGAATCGTCGTCGGCTGGAGCAGATTCTCCCGAGACCGCCCTCGATTTGCAGATAACCTGGATATCATCAAATTCCTGTGCAAGGATCTATGGACGGTTCTTTTCAAGAAACAGGTGGATAATTTGAAGACAAATCACCGGGTAGGGGCTCATTGCGCTTCCGACCGCTCTGAATTCGCAGTTCGAGGGAAAAGGCTAATACCTCAACTGTCAGGGTGTGTATGTCTTGACGGACAACTCTTTTCGACCGTTTGCAAGAATGAGTACGTCTGTTCGGAGTGAAGCGGTATCCATGGCTCAAGCGGTATGGCCATACCAGACATGCTTATCCACTGTGTCAACTCTTCGTGCCCTAACTTTCTTGCGTCTATTGTAGTATCTATGGTTTCCATGCGGTGTCATTCGCGGTGCTCTATCGAATTTAGGCATTACAACTACCGTTCAAGCGGAGTCTGCTGAGCTTCCAGGCGCAACCTTCCAAATCAAAACCGTCAACCCTAAGCCCTGAACGTGCATAGCTCTAAGTATTTTGGGAAATCAACTGGTATAATTTACGTTCACTACCGAGAACTTGAGCGACAACTACAACACTCAACATCCCCGGGAGTTCTGATGGGGCTGCATCTATCATCAACGGATTGCTGAATAAGTCTACAAACCCTGAAGCACAGGCATAAAGAATACATGGTTATTTCATTTATGCAACGTCACTCGTATCCCGAAGTCAAAGTCCTCGGTCAGAGCAATCCATCGGCAATCGTTCTTTCGTCTGCAGTCACATACTTCAAAGCCTATCTCTCCGGGACAACAATGATTAGCAAGGCTCCTTCCATGTCCGTGAACATATGATGGAACCACCGAAAAGTATTTCCTCGGTGGCAACAAAATGGGTGATATGTCAATATCACACATTGATGCTTGGGAATCCTGTGACTCATGACTGGGGTGGGCGTGTTTACTTGGGTGGAGGGTTCTTGATGAAATCGACGCCCTTTTCGATATTAACCTTCAAGTCCTTGGTACAGGTCTGAATGAGCTCCTGCTCCTTTTCGGTCACGCCATCGAGGATGTTGATAGCTTTCTCGGCCCCGTTGGTCTGTATAGGGCGTCAGAACGATGCTAGAATATCACAGATCATATGTTGAATAACTTACGCCAAGTTCTACAAGAGTAGAGAAGAATTCAAGACCAGTGGCCTTGGCGATCTCCTCACCGCCAGTGATGCCGGGAAGGTAGACAAAGGTGGGCTCGACGATACCCGATTCGCCTTTGGAAGCCTTGATGACACTCTGAGCAAATCTTGGGACGGGTTAGCTATGACACTTGATTTTTGATAGCACGAGAATTTCAAACCTGAAGCCAGCGTAGGCCATGGATAGGGTCGCGGACCCGGTACCATCCTTGGCCTTGACAACCTCATCTCCACCGAATTGAACGCCTGTAAGGCTCTTAGTGGATAGTTTATCGTTAGGGGGCGGCACAAACTACTCACGGTTGACCAACGCATCATACTTGTCTGCGGGAACCTGGAAAGCAGGGGTAGCCTTGCTGAAGAGGGGAACAATAGTCGCGCCCGAGTGGCCACCGACAACTGGGATTTGCACTGTAGACGGGTCATTTTGACCAGAGTATTCCTGGGTGAAGGTCTCTGCGCGGACGACATCCAAGGTGGTTACACCAAAGAGACGCTTGGGGTCAAAGACGCCAGCGGCCTTGAGCACCTCTGCAGCGATGGGGACAGTCGAGTTGACAGGGTTTGAAATGATTAAAACAAATGCTTTGGGGGAGTGCTCAGCAATACCCTTGACCAAGTCGCGCACAATGCCGGCGTTAACCCTGAAAAGGTCATCACGAGTCATTCCTGGCTTGCCTATTTGCCAGAGCCTTGTCAACCAGGAGCACTTAAAGTTCCCAGGGGGCCAAGGAGCTGTACTCACGGGGGATTCCGGCGGGGATGACAACAATGTCAGCACCAGTCAAGGCGTGCTTCAATCCATCGTCCTTGGGAAGATATCCAGAAATTTTCTGGCAAGGAAGTCAGCAAAGGGATGAATGTTTGGGAACGAGATGGCTTTGATAGACGACCCACACATACAGCAACAGAGGAGATGTGGGAAAGGTCGGCAGCGACACCAGGTGTGTTGACAACATCGTAAAGTGCAAGGTCATCCACCAAGGGGCACGCCTTCAACAGGAGAGATAAAGGCTGCACAATCAGAGAGACATGGTTAGTAAAGTGACCGGATGTGACTGGGCTGTATTGTGGCCTGATAGGAACCGATAAGGGGCACGAACCTGGCCAATGCCACCAGATGCACCAAGAACAACTAACAAAATGGATTAGTCCCACTGTTCGGGAGAATGTTGGGGTTCTCCTTGGTGTAGGAAGCGGGGTCAGGGTGCATGTAGGTGCCTGGAAAACTACTCACCTGCTTTAACCATTGTGGAAATTTAAGTTCGCTCTAGATGGTGACGAATCTATACACGACAGTGAAGACAGGAACCCGGTGTTAGCGGAAGGCAACAGATGGAGGGGAGAGGGGAGAGGTGTGAGAGGGTACAGGAAAATCAGCTGGGAGGGAAAGAAAGGTGGACGGGGGGGGGCTCACCTAAAAACCCAGGAGGGGGGAAGGAGGGGTTGTTGGAGGAGGGGGCGGGGTGCTGTGGTACGGTGAACAGGTCTGGGCAAGTGGCAGCCGCCTCAGCACAGGGATTAGGAAGGATCGGAGGTCATGCGGGGGCTAGTACATACAATATCCGGTTGAAAACGAGCCAGTAGTGAGGATTGGAACAGTGACAGACAATGTTGGTGATCGTACCTCATACCTACACCAAGGGCAAGGGGAAAGCTCAGGGTTATTATATACTATAGTCAGTCCTACGGGAACCGGACGGATGATCACATGTGGGGGGTTCCATGAAGCTGTCTGCTCAGTCTAGTCTAGACCAACCGGGGAACTCCCAAGGCTGCCCTTCCATAACAAGAACCCCAAGGACGGCTGAGAAGCATGACAGTGACCCGGTAACAGCTGTCATTGGTCCTTATAAGGCTCAAGCAGACTTCTGCTCCATCATCACCATCATGATCATAGTCAAAATACCCATCCTCATGCCCGTCACCAAAGTTTCCGACGAGACTGGGGGATCCAACTGCCAAGCGCAGGCCATTTTTCCCCCGCTGTCCAGATGTCCTATCTTTGCGTGTTGGACCTAGAAGCCGAATTGTTGCCTCCGGGTTCATTCCTCGGATATAGCCCTCATATGTTCCCCTGGATTCCGGTAATTCTCGTTTGCCCCTAAATTTGGAGAACTCATAGTCGAGGGATATTCCGGTTCAGCCGTTGATCCACCAAGGTTTCGGGAAAAGGCGGATACCAGGGTTGTCTTACGGCAACTACACGGTAGGGAACTGCTTACGACACCGGTTCTACATCTTGTTTCGGCCCGACAGGCGGCAGTAAACCTCCAACGTTCTTACAGGCACACCAACATGGCCGGAGATATCACAGGCAATCACAAGCGGAAGGCTGTTTGTTTTCCCATTCACCACGTTGCTACCGCTATTGCTCGGATGAAGGTTGGTAAATCTTCCCTTCCCCCGTGTTTGAATTTCCCGGTATTTTTTATTGTTTCCATTCCGAATGGCCTGGCCGGACAACGATGTCCCCGTGGTAGCAGTATTGCTAAATTACATAGATGTTACCGCCTTTGGCCAGCACGGCGCTATTCTGGTCATCCCGACCGGCTCTCGTGACATCATGCCTCCTAGCCCTTCCTGAGATGTTGGAATTTACTCCGACTTCTCCTCGGCCTTCCTGGCCTGAGCACCGCGGGGCTTCTGGGGAGGAGTCTCCTTCTTGGGCTTCTGGGAGCGGCGGATGGCGCTCACACGGGCGACAGCGCTCTCACGAACATCGGCACGGTAGCCGTTCTTCGCAGTCTTGTCGGCAACACCCTTGTAGATCCTATGCAAAACTTACAGTCAGAAAACCGTGGCGCGCCCGTGACGGGCATCCCAGGATGCCAACTGATCATAATGACTTACTTGCGGGTGGAGGCGTTAGGGCCATAAGTCACGCTAACGACGTTCTTCGCGGGCTGCTGAGGGTTGCTGGGCTTCTTGGAGATAACAACAACGCCGCCGTTCTCGGTGGCCTGGACACCAACCGCCTATTGTTGCAACGTTAAACATCCAGTTTCTGATAGCAGATATTCCATGGCATGAGCCGCGGGTTGATTACCTTGGTGTTGGCATAGCCGGCGTACTAGATACAATTTAAGTTAGTACGGGAAAGCAGGATCATTACCATCATTTCTGCGCTCCTACCTTGAAAGAGTGCTTGTTCTCCAAGTTCAGGGGGTCACGGGAGAACTGGGAGCCACCGCCGCTGTTACGCTTGACCAGAAAAGCATTCTGGGTGCCTGTTCAGGTAGTCGTACATTAGCCGGAGAGGAGGATGCGCGAAACGGCTCCTAGGGGTGAATGGATAGTGACGTACGGGTGAGCTGCCAGATGAGGTCGCTGGAAACGTTGGTGGCCATTTTGAAGGTCTTTCGAAGCTGGGTGGGGGATGAGGACAGATCGAATCGTCGCAAGTCCGGTCGGTATATACCAGCTACTACTTAATAGCCCTTAGGAGGTTGTGTGTGCCAATGCCAAGAATGGCAACGCTGGGAGCCTCGCTAAGCAGGCCGCTTTAGGAATAGGCTAGTTTTCCAGCGTTCGTTCGCTGCCTAATAATTCTGCCTGAGGACGAGGGCATCGAACGAGTAATATTAGATAGTAGCCAAGGCCCAAATCCGTCCGCCCCTATCTTAGTAGGTAGTAACTGTTTAGTTCCAGCCGCCTTGCACGGTTGACCCACTTCCGTCTTCCGCGCCCTTCCACCTACCTATGCCTACCTACTTACATAGTACGTAGGGGCGTGCGGTCTACTATTATTATTGTTGTCTAAATGTCCTTTGTATAGCTGGCTGTGGCACAACGCCTGCCAGCCACGAATCTGTGTATCATATTTTTGGAGATAGAAGTCTCCATCGCTTTGAGAACGTCTGGTCCGGATCTGCGCGGCGCAACTCGTTCAACACTCATCTAGCGATCCCGCAGCTGTCCGCTTGCCAACCCGCCGATAATTCTCATTGACCATGGCTTCCTATCTTCTCTACTTCCTGACGTTATCGGTTGTTGTATGTGGCACGGGTATGTCTGGCTGCCAACACATAAAGCCTGCACGTCGTCCAGACCCTTCTGACCTGCCTACAGCGCTCTATCTCACCCGTTTTCGATGGCTACATTTAGTCACAGTCCCCGATTACATTTACCATCGTCTCCCCTCCACTTTTGCTGGCGATGTCGAAGCTGGATTGACATCTTCAGAGTTCGACATCTCTGCCAATATCACCGAGGGCGACACTAGGGCGGGATTGGATGATCAGGCCAAACGCGAGATCCTGCGAATCATGAAACGGCAAAAGGTCGATTTCAATGAAGCCCGTCGGATTTATATTCAGCAACGTTTTTCCAAAAACAACATTGGTCCTGACGGCCGACCCAGGGACCCAAAATTTGTGTCATTCTCATAGGCGATCACATTTGCGTTGCAGTCGCTTGATCGTACCTTTTGCTTTATTCCGTCTTAACATCTCAACAAGTACAAACATCCACTTACACTGCCCTTCGTGGGGACTTTGGGCTCCCTGGCTGCGCGTAGATTTCCCTCACCATTGTCTTCGGGTTCTCTTCGGCCTCCCCACCTTAGATTTACTTGGTATATTGTCTTAGTCGGACCCTTGACGGCGTGAATCTACGTTGGCAATAAACCCTCGATTGTCATTATATGAGTATTTGAATCAGTATAGCGTCCACTTTCACTTAAATTGCTATCATCTACCGCGAATGAAGAGATCGAGTGCGGCAAGGCCAGATTCAATTATTGGTACGCAATCTCCTTTCTTATCGAAAGGTAAAGCCTGGACTGGCAGTTCAATTCGGCCATGTGGAACAAGCCGATATTAGTTCTCTGGTAAGCCAAGGCTCCAAAACCATTGGTTTCTAGGGCAAGATCCTTCTTCCTTTAGGGCGTTAACAGCCACTCGGTTGTTAATCGTTACATCGTGTTCGAGAAGTCATAATCCTAGGAACCAAGTGATGGGTGAAGAGGACGGCGATCTATTTCTTCTGCTCCGTCTCCTTCTGTCCATGCCGATGCATTCTACCCGGAATGCTCAGCGCCCACGCCCGTAGCCAGGTTGTTGGAATCCTGGCGGCAAAGGAGGTGCAGGGCCAGGGGTTCCTGCAGGGGCACCGAAACCTGGCGGTGCGAAACCTGGTGGAGGTGCTGCTTGAGGAAAAGAGGGTTGCGGGTTGGCACCATTGAAGCCGGGGGGAAGGAAAGACTGCGGGCCTCCATATCCAGCCTGTGAAGGCGGCGGCCGTGCCGGTAAACCAGGGGGTGGGTTTGCCAGAGATGTGGGAGGTGGAACCGGTCGGCCTGACTGCGGAGGAACGTTTTGAAAGGCCACATTCGGGGGAGGAGCCATGCCTCTTCCCATACTCAGATCCGGTGGATTGGTGCTCATTGGTCGGGAGTTGTCACCGTTGGCCATCGCGGCTGGCACCATGGGTGTCGCCGGGTTCGAGAATTGGGGCGGTAGTGGTTGGGTTGGCGGACGCACATTATGCTTGCGAGCCTGTGCAGCCAGCATGCGCTCTGCCTCATCACCGTGGCGTTCACCTTTCCCATCTTTCTTATATGCGTATTGTACCGAGACCTGCTTGTTCATAAGATACTGACCGTTCATGTTGGATATGGCAGCGTCCGAAGATTCAAAGTCAGCAAAAGACACAAACCCATAGCCCTTTGACAGGTTGTTATCATCTCGTGCGATCTAGATAGGAGTCATTGTTAGTTCATTACTAAGAAGACACGAATCCCACGACAGGCGTGGACAAGGGACGAAGGGAGCCCACCTTGGGGATATTGATTAAATTTCCAAAGCGACTGAACGTGTCATAGAGGACCTGTTCGGTAACCATAGGATCGAGGTTCCCGACAAACAGCTCCGCCCCGATTTCCACTGACTTCTGCTTATCGGCAGATGCTTTATTCACACGGATGGGCTTTCCATATAGGCGGATTCCATTCATGATCCGTGACGCGTATTCGGCGTCCTCCTCGCTGATAAATTCCACGAACCCGTAGCCTTGATGCGACTGTGTGACTCGATCTTTCGGTAGGTGAACGTTAACGATGCGCCCAGCCTGAAGCATCAGCTCCCATACCAGGCTATCTGAGACCCGTTCATCGAGATTGCCGATGTAGACAGTAGCCTCCTTGTCTTGCTCCCTAATTCGGTGATCATCAGCCCCAGCTTCTTAAGCGATACGTAAACCGAGCACCTACCAATGCCTTGCGCCGGACATGGCGCCTACGTGGTGCTCTTGAGGGCCCCCCTCGGCCGGATGCAAGCGATTGAACTTAAAGGGGTGGACAGGAGAGGTGCGATGAGTCGAAAGGAGGACGTAAGAACAAAAAAAAGAGCTGAGAAAGGTATAACTTTGGCGGGGAAAAGCACTGGGGAAAGAGAGGCCGGATGAATGATGGTTGGAGACGAGTCTAGTTTATCGGCGGAGCTTTTACTGATCCAACTTTAGCCCCGGAAAACTTTGAGCTTCACCTCCCCCAATCTTCCCGTTACTCCCCGTCACTCCCTGTCAACCCTTCCATTTCCGCTTTTCTCACCAAATACTTCCCGGCACCAGCAAAAGGGACCTTTGCTACTCACACCTTCTTCAACTGTACACAAGTATTTACCGGCAGTATGGTCCAGTTCTCCGAGGAAACCAAGGTGAGTCCAGAAGCCTGATCGCCATGTGCTACTCAACTATATCGTGAGTTGGCTTAGTTATACTAATGGATGTCCCTTCCCCAGGAGCGCATCTCCAAGATCGTCGACGTCTCCAGAGTTGCTATTCACTAGTGAGTCGCCATTCATTCATCTTAGCGATGTTCTGGCCAAAACTGACGGTTGTCTTTGTTCAAGTGGATACCTGCCCTTAATTGTCTATCTGGGTACGTATATTGAAGCCCTCTGGGGGATTCGTTTGGGTTTGTGATGCTACCTCTGTTGCTAACTCGAAGGTAAACAGGTTACACCTACAGTGAACCCAAGCCATCTTTGTTCAAGTACGAGCGACTGCTCCCTGCCGACGCCTTCCCGATGATTGCGGCTCGCTAATTCTACGTATAGGCTGTTTTCGCCGCTCGCATAAAGGAATGAGTCGCGTTAGGATAACTTGGCAATGAACGTCTACCTTCCAGGCATGGTCGATGCTTGATGTCGCGGTTCGCGGTCCATTCAGGCCGAAGTGTCTGTATGCCGAAACGATAGCAGGACCCGAATCCTTTTCCCCTCTCACTTTAGGTTGTTGATGTCGACAGATAGAAGTCCACATCGATGAACATGTACTTTTAAACTACGATCAGCCTTCGTCATGTTTTGTATTGTTCAACGTGAATAGTTTCATTTCCATCTTTGGGTCCAGGGTAGGGCCGAGGGAAAGTGATGAATTGGAAGGGTTTCCGACCTGCATTATCGTCAACAACGTAGGCTCAGCCATAGCACTTTGAACCAGGCTCTTTCATCCTTGTAAGGTGTCGTTGTAGGCGGGTGCAATCGTGATTCAGCCATCCGTTCCCTGCTGGAGCTTTGGCGCGCTTCGGCCCGCCAAGCGCAATCGAATCGTCTCTTGCTTAGCTCGAGCCCAAATCTCTAGCTAAGGAATTTAATCCGGACCTCTCCTCCCCCCGATATCCCCGGTTAGAACTCCAAACCCTGCAAGCGGTGCATTATAGGAGGACTCGAAGGGTTCATGACTGGCAAGGATGGCTTGTCTTCGTCCTTTGTGGAGACCGTAGCGGGATTCACAGCAGGAATCGTTTCGACGCTCTGCCTGCATCCGCTGGATCTGATCAAGACTCGGCTTCAAGGTTCGTCTCCCTGGCTTTTTAGGCGTGGGCGGGTCAGTTTTCGATCTTGCAGTTCAGACCATAACTAATGCGCATCCTGTCGTGTCTCCTAGTCGACCGATTGTCCTCTTCGCGAGTCGGTGGTTCAGTCCCGGTAGTTCGCGAGATCTTTCAGAATGAGGGCGGCCTCAAAGCCTTCTACCGAGGTCTGACGCCCAACATAGTCGGGAATTCCACCAGTTGGGCACTGTACTTCTTGTGCTACAGCAACATCAAGGGCGCAATGCGCACCTGGCGCGGTTCTCAAGAACAGGTCCTCACCTCGGCCGACTTTTTCCTAGCCTCAGGATCTGCAGGTACGCCAGGAAGCGAACCCGCAATGTCTTTTTTTTTTCTTTCTTTTTTACGAGTTTAGGGGGCGGAAAATGAACTAACCCCGGAATGTTTAGGTATGCTGACATCCATGCTAACCAACCCGATCTGGGTGATCAAGACGCGCATGTTGTCAACGGGATCCCAAAGTCCCGGGGCATACGCGTCGTTCACGACGGGGGCGAAGGAGATATTCCGATCGGAGGGTATTTCGGGTTTCTATCGGGGGCTGGTTCCCGCACTCTTTGGAGTCAGCCATGGCGCGCTTCAATTCATGGCGTACGAGCAATTGAAGCTGCACCGCGCCCGGATGTCTCCGGCTGAGACGACGACTATTGGGATCCGACGTGGCGTTGATGGGAGTCATGGGTCATCAGATTCGCGTTCGTCAGGGATGCGGGAGCTGGGGAACGTGGACCTATTCGTGATCTCGAGCTTGTCCAAACTATTTGCCGGATGTGTTACCTACCCGTATCAGGTGTTGCGGTCTCGCTTGCAGACCTATGATGCCCACCTCGTGTATTCGGGCGTCCGGGATGCTGTTTCTCAGATCTGGGCCAGGGAAGGCGCCACGGGTTTCTACAAAGGTCTAGGCCCCAATTTGCTGCGAGTATTACCCAGCACGTGGGTCACCTTCCTGGTCTATGAGAACACCAGGGCGTATCTACCAGGGTTGCTGGCCAGTCTTTGATAGGGTGCGAATATGCCTCCGTCAGCTGGTGTAAATACCTGTTTCATATCTCTCTTATCACTGCCTGTTGGTGGTATCTACGGTGTAGCATTGATCATGTCATAAATACTATGGGCGCTGGAATGCCATGTAGAGTAGCCTAGTTAGGCTGAGATATACTAATAGGCTTTATTCTGATCCAGGTATATATTTCTGAGGACACGCTGATGTACACAAGGGGAGTCTGCAAGCCGAACGATAACGGTTGGGGAGTCCCTCATCCAGGTTAACTCCTTTTCCAACGTGAGATGCTGATGATATGAAATAAAGAAACGAAGCTGGTATCGTGAGAACAATCAAACACAATGAAATGCGGGACACGAGGGTACGAGACTTTGGAAAGCTTGGGTGTGTCAATGAGCTTGCCGCTCAATAAAGTATGGTTCCGCATCTTCCTCTTCGCTGCTGGAACCTCCGTTGTAGATGGAGGCGTCTTCATAACTGGCTCGGCGCAACTTGTCATCGTTACTGCTGAGAGGCTGGATCCGTCTGCGGGAGTCGGAGCCATGGTCTGACCGAGAAGTAGGCGAGATTCTGCGATCCTTTCCGCGGCCCTTAATCCCCTTGTTGCTATTCTTATACAGTGTGGCAAAGTATTCCCAAAGCTTTCTGTCTTGGGGGCTCATGTGTTCTCCCTCTGTTACCTGGGAGAATCTTAATGTTAGATTTCGTAGGGTTGTGGCGTGGAACTTGTTCTGGTGTGACTGTCCCACAAGTCAGCTCCGAAGTGATTGGCTTCAGGATTGGTGAATGGTGTCTCCGCACCTTCAGGTTTCCAAGCTGGGTAAACTGCTTCCCACAGTCATCCAAAAGACAAGTGAATGGTTTGGCGTGTTGATGAGTGATTTTATGGGCCCGGACATTGCCTCGCTGAGCGAATCGTTTCTGACATATATCACAGGAAAATGGTTTCTCCCCTGTATGGCGACGTTGATGGGTCTAAACATCAAGTTTCTCCGTTAGACATCTATAACCATCTTTCGATGTTGCCCATGCTTCTGCTAGGGAAGGCCGGCTTACCTTCAAATTCCCCAACTGAGAGAAGCGCTGTCCACAGGAAGGCTCTTTGCATATCTTATCATGAGAAAGTCAGCGCTAATCTAACCCTCCTGAAAGGATCCTGGTAACACTTACAAAGGGCTTGTCTCCCGTGTGAGCCCTCATGTGGATATCCAGATGAGTCTTCTGCGCAAAGCTCTTGCCACAATGCGGCAGAGTGCACGCATACTTGCGTTTCTTGCCCGGTCGCGACGGGGCCTCTTCGACCATGACAGTGCAGCGGGGGGTTGTCACCGGTATTGAATAGCTCTGAGTATAACCATTACTTCCCCCGTGGGTCAATTGTTGAAGTGGTGGCAAAGACTGCACTCCTGGGGGCTGAGTACCGGTCTTAGCCTGGATTGCCTTCATCAAAATATCCACCTCTGTCGAGAACTCAACCTCGGTGGTAGAGGAGCCTTTCCCCTGTGCAGCCGCTCCGTTGATAGATTGCTGAGCTCCCGGAGGTTGTTGTGAGCTAGTATTGTGTTCAATCTTGGTCAAAGGGTCTCTGGCTACTCGATTGACGGCATTCTTAGCCGGCCGGATATCGGGGATTTGCTGGATAGATGGTGGCTCAGAGGATAGGCGAACTGGCTGATGATGAAGCGGTTGCTGACCAGCTACAAAGTAGTGTTGGTAACCCGGATGGTGATGGTGATGGTGATGATGGTGGTTGAGAGTGTGCCCGAAGCCGTACGCAGCTGATGAGGATTGGTGAAACGGTAATGGAAACGGAGCAGTCGGGTTGGTATAGAAAGAAAAGTTATGGCCGACATTCGAGTTCATCATTCGACGAGGCGCAACAGCCCCGACGGGATGGCCGGGAAATTCGTATGACACTGGTTCTGCAGTCTCCATCTTGACGAACGCAATGAAGAATCCCTGGGCCTGCGTTTGCTCCGATCTCGTGCTTCGATACGCCTTTATCTCTTGCTGGGGCTATTGCAAGCGGTTGGAGTGCTTTGCGTTCCCAAGACAGAGAGAGCGAAATGGCCGATGAAGGGAACAAGACCCCTCCTGCTACCTTGTCTCAGTCATCCATCTACAATACCTCAAGATAGTCCGTGGAGTAATCCTACTGACTGGAAAACTGACACTCACTCGGTTTTGGAAATCCTGGGGCTCGGGTTGATTGCTGGGAAAAGCGCAATCAGCTGCTTAAGACGAAGCAAAGAAGTAAAGAAGCAAACAGGCCGGGAACAAGCAAATAAGATATAAGGCCCCAGGTCAAGATCAAGATCAAGATCTCAAAAAGCAAACATTGACACCAGGAATGGCTCGAGCTCCCCACAAGCTGGGCGTGCCCCTGGAGAAAGGACGAGACTGGGTCTGGATGTATATAAGATCTTGAGTAGGGCAAGGACGAAGAGTGGAGAGAGACAATGGATTGTGGCCGACAGTCGCAACGAGGAGGGCTATGACATTGATTTTGACAATGGGGGATCACCAATAAGCAAATATACGGCTTGATTCTTCAGGCTTTCTTCTGGGTTAAGATTATTCGGCTTTTTGATTTTGTTTTTCTTTTTTCTTTTCTGATTTGTCCGGGCCGCCTGAGTTCCCTCTTTATTTTTTTGGTTTAGATTTTTCTTTTTTGTTTTGTGAAAAAAAAGGGAAAGCAGAAGAGTAATAATAGATTGCCATGGGTTTCTGGACCCTCCCTTGAAGATTGAGGCCGGTGATCTAGAACTAGATATACATCGCTACCCACCCACCTCCCTTTTCGGTGTCCCAGAGCAGTGGAAGCAGCGGGGTGACCAGTGACAGGGATGTTGCCTGCTAGTTGGTACCTAGCTGAAGGCTTGTACAGACCAGAATAGGATAGGTAGGCAGTAGCTGAGGCATGGGGGGTTATGATTATGAGGGTTATGGGGTGGAGGTATGTATGACCGGGTATGGATGTATGTATCAATTATATGGACGTATTTCCGTATGGATGTACGACGGGACTGTCCTGTCATGGAGGTATTGATCTCGGTCTAGGAAACCAAAAAAAAAAAAAAACATTCCGGAAAAGAAAAGGGGGAGGCAAGGTCATTCAATGACGAGACCTGATGGATCAAAGAAAGAGAAAATCCAAAATCATGATTGGGAATAAGGAACTAGAGTCTGCAGTATAATTTGCGCGCGGTAAGACTACCGTCATCCTCAATGAGCATGCCCCCCCCCCCTCCCCGGCCACCGAAATTTAGGCGAATGCATCCCAACCAGCTCCACTGTCTAGCCTCGCTCTGGGATTGATAGGGACGGAGCTGAATGCAATTTTTCTGAATTGCTGTTGCCCCAGATACCTCCCCCAGCCCCAAGCCACCTGGCAAAGGGCTGACACATCTTACTTGGGTCCCGCGAAGTTTCTTTCTGTCCCTTTCTGCTAATCATGCAATGGGGCTCGTAAATTACTAGTCTCATCGACAATCATCTTGAGGTGCATACCATTACCTTGTAATAGGAGCCAAGTCGCTTTTTCGTACAGAGGACTCCCCTAAGAACCTAGTACTAGAGGATGGGGCCCGGGGGGATCCTTGATCGGGGTCCACCTACTTAGTATTCTAGGACTTTAGCCCAATCGCGGAACGCCTAGCGACGTTTCGATCGGGCTGACAATCACGCACCCACATGGACGGTACGGAAGGAGTACTAGTGATGCTATCCCGACTATACCATCCTCTGTCTAGATTCCAGACAGAACTGAAGTGTATCTAGTAGTACAGAGTAGTTGGCCAGAATCTACTAGGTAGGTAAGGCACCAGGGTCAACCGGTACCGGTTGAGAACATCGGGATCCCTAATCAGCAGTAATCAGCAGCAAACCGGATAAGCATGGCGAGGCAACCATAGAGCTGGCAAAACCGCCACATTTCGATAGGAGAAATAAAACAGCAGGCTTCCATAAGCATGAAAAATGCAAGCCCGTAATTGACCACCCGCACCCACGAGTAGTCATATCATCTGACCCAAGACAATGGACCAGGGCATGAACCCCGACTAATTGAAGAGTGAGTGGAGTGTGGGCTTTTTCTGACACCTGTTAGATAGAGCTGATGTAGTACCTGACTAGTACTCCGAGTCCGAACCCGATGATCGTCAGACTCGTTGCTAGCAGCTGGCCAGTGACTTGGGATGGGACCAAGGTAGGGGGTAGTGTATCATCCTGTTTACTCAGCTGCTATGCTGCTTGAACGCAGCTCCGTTACCGTTCTCGTATTATTTCATTATGCCATCCAGCTAGCTAGTTACTAGTGAAACAACCAGGATACCCTCGTCATCTACGCAGGCACCTGAGCTGTTGGGATCGATTTCAGCAAATCGGGGTTGGTTTCATACCGGACAGCCTTGCCGGCCGAAGGATCATCGTCGTCACCTGGATGAATGGGCCTCGTTGCCCATGGGGCTCATCAATGGATCCGTGGGCAACGATAGCCACTAACCGGCCCTAAGGCTACTCAAACCTTAGTCAGGGCTCCAAGGTCATCCGAGAAATGAACGGGGCATGTTCGGACTACATAAGCACCGCACCCTGCAGCGAACTAAGGGAGATTGGAAGATACAGTCTGTCAAGTGTCAATTCTTATACGCGGCGTGGGGTCTCCGCGGCTTCAAGAACATGGAAGCCTACCCCATCCTACCACAGCTCGGCGCAGGAGCGGGCAGTAATTTTCATTCTCAATGCTGGTTCGCTGCAGGGGCACCCGAGAACTCCGACGACATGGCCGTAGAGATACTAAGCAGGCTTTGGAGCTGGCTGAGCTGAATCGCACGCCGGTTACCTCAGAATAAAACGCCATCGACCCTCCTTGGCTTGCGGCTCTAGGCTAATTTTGCTTTCAGCAACAAGTTTGGGCGAATTTCTGTGTACGATGGGATTGTCTAACTTGCTACTGCATACTGCAGTGGATTAACGGAAAAAGTGGTTTCCATTCAGCCCGGCAGCTGGCAGTAGGCGTGTACGGAGTATGGATGCGGGAAAGGAGACGAGGGAAAATTACCTCCGTACTTCTGGTCAAGCGAAAAGCATGACAGGGTTCGCCCGGCAGAGCTACACAACGGACCGCTCGCGGGCGATCAATAGTGTAGCAAATCCCGGTCGCCCATTTGTTGACAAGCTCCCCACCTCCTTGGCGTATATGTGCCTCACTCTCGCAAGTCGCAACAGCCGCGACTGGCGACTTGGAAATCCCAACAGGGTCTCCCTCTGTACAACCAACAGGCCTCGGTTGTCTTCAGTTGGCCGCCAGAGAATTTGGCGAATGGTATAAAAATGATGGGAAAAATAAAAAGCTTTCCACAGCGCCCACGATCACAGTTGGGCTGCCTCACCCATGTCTTGGCCAGAACAAACTGCAACCTCAGGTCTTTCTTGCCTTATTAGTACCTCCGCCATTGATGACTCCACTTTGACTCTTTTATTAGCACTAGACGATGCAGCCTCCGATCTCTCATGAATTTCTGCTCCGTCCTACACAGGTGGACAAATGTAGTCTTTACCCCTGAAAAAAGTGGGTTTATCTCCATATTGAAACATGCAAGACTTTGACCAGGCTGGGCGCTGATGGTGAACACACGAACAGTTGAAATAGGTATCATCAGCATTTGGTTAAACTTTCCATTGCTGACTTGGAATGTTGGTTACGGCTCTAAGCTATCTGCCTTATTGCTTTCGTGAAGGTTCTGCTTCATTTTTTTTTTGCCTTTCTTGCCTTGGTCCAGGCAAACTTAGTATGAGGGTAAAGCTCAGAGCATGCTTTATGTAGGTACTACTATGTAAGTAGGTAACCAAGGGACCCGCGTACTTACTTACGCGCCATACTACTTAGTGCAGGCTGTGGAGTGAGAGTGCCTGACGTATCTACTAGGTACTACTAGCTTGGCCAGTGCGCGGTAATTCATACGAGATTGTATCCCACATCCAGAATGGAATTGTTCCAAAAGTCCGAAGATGATAGACCGTAGCCAATGAGGGTCGTTTTTCGCTTGACTGTGTAACTTCGGGATTCTGTCATGACTGGATCCTAACATTCCACTGATCAGGTTTTGCAGAGCAAGCCCCGCTGTTATTAGTCGAGTTAGAGCTAGATGCGTACCAAGGGAAAAAAAAATTCAGAGAATTCTCTTCCCTATAGGATGCATCAGCCTGTCGTATAACCGGTACTCGGTGGATCAAGAGAAGAATATAGGTAAAAAAAATTAAACAAAGGTTGCTACTCCGTAGATCACTCGAGTTGAGTGCATCGATCTAAAGGCAGGAAGGGAGAAATGTGAACCGGGTACGCATGATGATAATTATGCCAGATGGAGGCTTTCGTGGCCAAGTGAGGGAAATGTACTCCGTACCCATTTCTCCTTTTCTGTCAGTTTCTGTGACGGGCCGGGCCTTCATCTCGGAACCGCTCAAACTCAACCATGACCCATGGATCTCACACAAATTGGTAAACTCTATGGTTGAAGCCCGCCTCCAACCTCTTAGGGTCGTACTAAATCTTTGGGGGCGGACCTCGCGTATTACCTATCTCAGTCTAGGAACTTGAGGAGCCTTTCCTACATCCGTGCCAGAGTTGAACTGTGCTCATCCACTTAGTGGGATGCCGGTGCAAAGTACGAAATATATGTGCCATCGCCGGGCTCATCGATCGTGGACGGCGACCACTGCGCTCCCGACATTGTGGGCCAGCCTGGCTGGAAGCCAAGGATCCTCTAGCGAGGATCTATTGGATCGACTTACATACAGTACCTTACTGCACGGGCTGTGGCCTGTAGGTACCGTTCAGACGTCAGACGTCAGACAGCCAGACACACATAAGTACATACATTATATGTACAATACACACATACATAAGTAAGCATATCTGTGGATTCGGATAGGTTTGAAAACTAGACCACCTCCGTCACGTCCTCGGATCGGACCATGGGGGCTTACCTGCACATTCGCAGGCGGCGGCTGATCCGCAACGATCGGGGCCTCAAACATGGGATCTAAACGAGATAGAAAGGCAGGCAGATGTATCACATCCGCGGTTTCACGCGATGTCAGGAGGGAAAAAAGAAGGCAGAAGCTGTGACATCATAGGTACACCACCAGGTGGCCTACACGTATGGGATTCTCTGTCAATTTTGGAAACCCGGCATTGCTGTCTGTGTTACGCAGTCACTGCTGCTTTACAGGTGAGTATCCCCGTCATGTCTCGTCATCTTGAATGATGGTTCATGCATAGTCTGCACGAATGTACAATGGCGATACATATTGATTGTGCGAACACAGCAGCTTGACTTGGATCCGTCTAGTACCTACGGTACACCTAGCTAGTTGAGTCTGGGCTAATCCAGATTG